TGGGCTGCCCTGCTTTTCCAAATTTCAACCACACATCATAAATCAATCAAACCAAAAATTACAGCCTCAGTTTGAAAAACGGTCCTTGTGAAGCAATTAGCTTCCCCCTCTTAAGAATAATCATCTGCAAAAAAAATTTAAGACTCCTTTCTAAAAGAAACAGGCTCAGCACGACTTACAGCAAAATTCATACGTGCACAATTAGAAACAGCGGCAACCGTTAGCCACTGAAGTACAACCTCCCCCCCCCCGCACCCCCATTAGCCACCGTGAGGAGCATGAGAAAATTGACCCATGCGCCAGTCCAGCATGAGATGCTCTCAGGTGCTCGAGAAAAGAGCAAATCCTGGAGCCACGAATGCGCCAACGTTGGCACTGCCAGGTGCGCTTCACTGGGAGAGACTCTCCAGCCACTGCAGCATCCACAGTTTTTCCAGCGAGCATAAGAGTATAAGGGAAGCCCTGCTGGATCAGAACCAGGTCCATCCAGTGCAGCACCCCATTCACACAGTAGCAAACATAAGAACTGAGCGAGTCAGAAGGGGTCTCCCGGCCCATCTAGTCTGACCTCTGGCACCAGCCGGCTTCGCTCACAACATGCCCTCCATGTGCACGTCCAGCCTGTCCTTGAACACCCTCACGGATGGGGCCTCAGCCACCTCCCGGGGAAGCCCATTCCACACCCTCGGGGTCCTGACTGTCAGGAAGTGCTTCCTGGCATCCAAGTTGAACCTGGGTTCCCTGAGCTTGGCTCCGTTGGAGCGCGTTCTGCCTTCCTCTGCAGGGGAGAACAGGTCTCTCCCCACCTCCGTGTGACATCCCCTCACATACCTGCATGTCGCCAACAGATCCCCTCTGAGTCTCCTCTTCTCCAGGCTGAAGAGACCCAGTTCCCTCAGCCTCGCCTCATACGGCATCCCCTGCAAACCGGCCACCAGCCTTCTGGCCCTTCGCTGCACTGACTCCAACCTGGCTATATCCTTTCTGCAATGAGGGGCCCAAAACAGCACAATAAAGCAGTTGTCCACAGCGCCCCTCCAGCAGGATGGGTGCAAGCCTCCTCCGCCCCGCTCCTCAGCAACGGGTGTTGCAGGCAGGCCGCTTCTGGAGCAGGAGGGAGCCCATGGCCAGCAAGGCCAGCAGCCGCTCAGGTAGCCCCCTCCTCCTCCTCCCTGAATGCCCAGTCCCCCTTTAAAGCCATTCAGCTTGGCCATCGCCGCTTCCCGTGGTGGCAAATCCCATAGTTTGACTAAACTCTGTGTGAGAAAGGACTTCCTTTGATCTGTCCTAAACCTCCCAGCTTCGTGGGATGACCCCGGGTTCAAGTGCAGTGGGAGAAGGAGAAGAACCTCTCCTCCCACCAGGCATTATTTTAAACCCCTCTCTCCTCTCCCCCCTCCCCACCTTTTCTCTAAAATGAACAGCCCGTTTTTTGCAGCCGCTCCTTTGCTCCAGGCCCCAATCATGTTTCCCCTCCTTGCTCTTTATTCAACGCCACGCTGGCCTCTTCCAGGTGAGGCGACCAGAACTGGACACAACATTCCAGCCATGGTCGCCCTCCCAGATTCCTTGTTCGACGGGGGAAAAGGAGTGGATGAGACACATCACTTTGGAATTTGATTCAGACGGGAGGAAAGGCTCTTTTTCCTGCACAAGAGTCCTTTTTGCAGACGGATGTTACCCAGAAGGCAATGCCCAGCCTTTTATGCTCCGCTGTTTTCCTGCCACTGCAAATGCTATTGTGGTTCCTTGCTCGTGTGAGGTGCTTTCTCCCCTTATTTATTGTATTTATCCTATTTCTATCCCACCCTTTTTCCTTCCAAGGAAGTCGGGATGCCTTATACAATAGCTCCTCTCAATCTTCTCATCACAACAACCCTGTAACGTTGGCCGAGCTGCAAGTCTGTGGCTGGCCCAAAGTCACTGAGCAGAGACTAGAACCTGGATCACCAGCACCCCACACTCAGGCCCTTTCCCCCTGCTTTGGGGGGCAAATCACACATTGACAGAAGAAATAGGATCACTAAAAACCCTTTAGGTACTGGATGACATCCCTTACCGCACAACACACTCGGTTTCTTCTTCTGCTGTCAGATAGGGAACTGTGGTGGAAGGTCCACAGTTCACTGCTCCCCAGCAAGCCATGGATTGTTCACGGTTAACAAATAGTCTCCATGTTTCAACAACAGCCCATCGTCAGTCCTTGAGAATTAAGAATTCCTTGTGTCGTCTGAACCCAGCTGAGCGAACACAGCCACCGGACAGGCCAGAGCTCACAACCCAAGGACAAACCATGGATTCCTTTTGTGGTTCACAATCATCTTGATAGGTTTTTCTCTGGCCCTCCACCCAGGGGAGATGTAGAGAGCCCTAACCCATGCTAGCTGGGGATGATGGGAGTCGCAGTCACAGCATACCTGAAGAGCATGGGCTAAAAGAGGCTTATGAACTGTGAAGGGATTTAGAAAGCCTGGAGGCGGAAATGGCCTCGTTTTGCCAAGAGGGCAGGAGTGCGGAGTTGGCCTCGCTTATCCACGGCAAGCATGATGCATCTTTAAAAGGCCGAGTAATTGCAAGAAACAGCACTAATCGCCAAGACAAATGTCTCTTGCACCTCGTGAGGTAATCCAATTACATCGGCATCCATCCTGTAGCATTTCCCTTCTTTCACTCGCTATCCAGCCCAAACACAAATCCCTAAAATGCAGGCGCTCACCTACAACGCTGACACCTCGGTCGGCCATGCCTGTGCCGTGGCGTCCATGTTTCTCACTGACGAACCAACGCAACTGCCTACAAATGTGGTGTTCCAGCACACACACGCACACAACAAAAGCTCCAGCACACCACCATGGAAGCTCTGAACGGGAAAGTGAGGGAAGAACGTGTTTGACATCACCCTCAGTGTGCTTAGCCTAAGATCAGTTCCCCAAACTGACGAGCTCGTCTTCCAAAAGATCGCAGCTCCAAAGACCCTAGGGAAGGATCTTCACGAAGAAACCTGCAGCGCTAGTGAGGCGTGGAGCCTGTTACATTAGTGGTTCTCTAAATTAGTTATATTTTCTGCATTAGGGTGGCAACATAGAAACCGCGACTCAGAAGGGGTCTTCTGGGCCATCTAGTCTGACCCCCGGCTCAAGTTGGCTCCATTCATGAAATGCCTACCATGGGCATGTCCAGCCTGTCTTTGAACACCCTCACCGATGGGGCCTCACCCACCTCCCATGGAAGCCCATTCCACACCCTCGGGGTCCTAACCGTCAGGAAGTACTTCCTGGCATCCAAGTGGAACCTGGGTTCCCTGAGCTTTGCTCCATTGGAGCACGTCCTGCCTTCCTCTGCAGGGGAGAACAGGTCTCTACCCACCTCCGTGTGACACCCCCTCATGTACCTGCATGTTGCCAACAGATCCTCTCTGAGTCTCCTCCAGGCTGAAAAGACCCAGTCCCCTCAGTCTCATTTCATATGGCTTTTCCAGCGATCCGGCCACCAACCTTGTGGCCCTTCGCTGCACTGACTCCAACCTGGCTTTATCCTTCCTGTAATGAGGGGCCCAGAACTGAGCACAGTACTCCAGTTGCGGGCGCACCAGAGTCGTATAGAGTGGCAGTAACACCTCTCTCGATCTAGAAGCCACACTTCTGGCTATGCAACCAAGGGTGGCATTCACCCTCTTGACCACCGCATCACACGGCTGACTCATGTTTAGCCTGCAGTCAACCAGCACCCCGAGGTCCCTTTCACAAGTGCTGTTCTCCAGCCACTGGTCCCCTAACCTGTACTTATGACAGCTATTCCTGTGTCCCAAGTGCAAGACCTTGCACTGATCCGCATTGAACGCCATCCTGTTGTCCTCGGCCCACTTCCATAGCCTGTCCAGATCCTTCTGGATCCAGAGGAAACATCAACATTCCTTGTTAATGCACAGTGCTTGGTTCGCCCAAGCACTACATCTGTCCTAGGAATGTAGTAATGGTCTAAATCAAAACTAAATACTTGAGGGACCCGTCCCTTGACCACCCTCAAGAACTGAAGAATGACCCTCCAGAAGGCTGAACGCAGCGTTCAGTTTTGACTCTGTGGAGGAGACCAAGTGCCGGGTTCTTCCCAGGCAGGGCTGCACAGCCGCACCGCCCTAGTTAGTAGAATGAAAGCCTGGATTTAAACAAAGTTAAGCACTGATCATTTTTCTTTTCGTGCTTCTGTTCTGCTGCTTTTAGCTTCCTGTAAATGTGTTTCAGTGGTCATTTGCTGAAGTTTTAGCTCTATTTTATATGCTGCTTTGGGCAACTCCTATGGAGGGAAAAGTGGGATACATATTCCTCGGATCATAATAAAAATGAAGCACTTGCGTTCACAAAGGTAGGGGTTAGTTTGCCGTGGAGAGGATATTAGCTGAAGGGGGAGTCGATTTTAGAAGCTGGGGAGCACCCTATTCCCTGTTGCGGGTGGGTTAGGCAGCCTCTGATCCTCGGAGTTGCTAGAAAACATCTTGAAGGTGAGAGCATCCCACTGGAAATGCATCTCTGGCAGACCCCGTTCCGTGGTCCTCCAGCTAAGCAAACGGCACCGCGAAACGTGGCGGTGGCGTCTTCTGAAAAAGGGCCCATTTTCAGAAGATCGCCCCGTTCTCTTCTGTAGAGTTGCCCTGAAAGGCATGGCAAGTGATGGAAGCCACCCACCGGTCGTGGCCCCCACAAAACGGCAGTTCCGGCACATGTGCCTTCTAGCTCGAGAATCTCTCCCCGTTGCTAAGGATGATGTATTGGGAGGTTGCTAGCAGTGGCCAATCCTGGCCGTTCTTGTGCAGCGCAGAGCTGACATGCGAGCGTTGGTTCTTGCTCGGATGGAAAAGATTGCACTGCTTCGTCTGAACATACAGCTTGCAAACCTCCAAGCAGGGTCTTCTGGATATTCCCCCCCGATGTGCTGCAGGGTGGCTCCCCAGCCACGACCAAAGGCACAGACAACTCACACGCTCCGTTCTTTTAACTCCGCAGAGTCCTGATTCCTCACGAGGTGAGCAGCTTCTGAGTTTGCTTCCGCACTGAAGTTCCCACCTGAGGTCGACTGCAGGTGAGTCCCAACAGTCTTTCCAAAATGAATGGAGCTGCTGGGGTGGTTCTCCAAACTCCCAAGGGCAAGGCACCCTTTTTAAACAGTCGCCGGGTTGAAAAAGGGCCATCGCCTTCCGTTCCCGTGTCCTACAAGGGCAGAATCGCACTTACCAGGCCCGTATTTTACTAAAAGGAGGACCAGTGTAGCGTAATGGTTAAGGGCGTGGGACTGGGACTCAGGCGATCCGGGTTCGAGTCCCCGCTCAGCCATGGAGCCAACTGGGTGGCTTTGGGCCAGTCGCAGACTCTCAGCCCAACCTACCTCACAGGGTTGTTGTTGTGGGGATAAGATTAAGCACGGGAGGAAGAGAATGATATAAGCCGTTTCGAGTTCATTGGGGAAAAGTGGGATATAATTCAAATAAATGGCGCACGATTGCAAAGTTCTTATCTTGCACCCACCCGGCCTCAAAGCTGAATTTGACGAGTGGGTGGTGTGTCGCCCCCACATTCCAGCTCTTGTCCTCCCATCTTGTTCTTTTTTTTCCTTGCCAGAAAAACCAAATTCTGGAGGAAAGGACAGAAAGTGGGGGCGGGGAGGCACAGTGACACTTGCACATTATTGCAAAGCAAGAAATGCATCACCAGAAAAAGGCCCAGATTTTCGTGTGCTGGTTTATATGCCCTGTTGCCAGTTTGGGGAAAATTTTCCCAGTTTGGGAGAGCCAGTGTGGTGTAGTGGTTAAGAGCATGGGACTGGGACTCAGAGGATCTGGGTTCTAGTCCCTGCTTAACCATGGAACCAACTGGGTGACTCTGGGCCAGTCACAGACTCCCAGCCCAACCTACCTCACAGGGTTGTTGTTGTGGGGATAAGATGGAGGAGGAGAATGATGTAAGCTGCCTTGAGCCCTTTGTAGGAGAAAGGCAAGATATAAATCGCAATATAAAATAAAAAATAAAAGTAATCAGGTAGAAATACAGTACATCTCACCCTAGTCAAGGGAACAGTGAGCTGGGACCACCCGTTCCTGCTCGGTCCAGTCCTGGTGCCGCTTGGAACGGGTGACGCCTCCCCGTTCTTATGGCCCTTCACTGGACCTGGACTGAAACAGGCAGCCTCCGAACAGAGGACTGTCCTCTGTAAGGCAGGACACGTGGCACCCCGTCACAGTGCCTTTTGGCTGGATGTACCAGGAGTTGTCCACATAGAAGCCCCCCCCCCCCAAATTTGCCATGCAGGGAAAGGGCTTTGCAGACGCAGCCTCTGCCTGTGATGCAGGAATTGGGCGAGCGAAATCATTCCCAGTACGAATATCAAGGGCGCATCAGGGTTGCCCGTGCTTCTCTGGGGTTTGGTGGCCTACCAGTCCCATGAGTCCTCAAGATTCGCTCCCTGGACCAGGACAGAGGAGAATGGAGGGCCAGCAAAGTGAGGCGCGGTCCAGACGAGACGGAGGCCGTCGGTGGGCGGTTCAGCCTTCCAGGCGCGTTGTGACACCTGCCCTGTCCTGGACGGGTTGCGCTCCCCCGGAGGACAGGGTGCGCAGCTTGGGAGCGCTCCTCGACCCAAGGTGTCCCTGGAGTCCCAGGTGGCAGCGGTGGCGAGGAGCGCTTTCCTCCGGCTTCGGCTGACCCACCAGCTGCGCCCTTACCTGAGCACCGCCTGGCAACAGTGATTCATGCTCTGGTAACTCCCTGGTTGGATTACTGTAACACGCTCTGCATGGGGCTGCCCCTGAAGATACTTCAGTTGGTCCAGAATAGAGTGGCCAGGATGTTAACGGGAACGGGCAGATACTCCCATATCACACCGGTCCTCTTTCAATTACACTGGCTGCCAGTTGAAGTCTGGGCCCAATTTAAGGTGCTGGTGATGACGTACGAGGCCCTAAACGGCTGGATACCTGAAGGAGCGCCTTCTTCCCCACGTGCCCTCCTGCCCTTTGAGATCTGGCTTTGGGAGCCCTCCTTGAAGGAGATCAGGAGAGTGGCTACCTGGGGAAGGGCCTTCTCGGTGGTGGCGCCCCAGCTATGGAATGCGCTCCCCAGAGAGGCTCGCCTGCTGCTGACTTTGTATTCTTTTCGGCGCCAGGCTAAAATCTTCTAATTTACCTCTTATTTAAAAAGCTGATTAGGTTTTTAATGTATGATTTTACTCCTGGATGCTATGCTTCATTTTTATTAGGGGTTTTGGGGGTGGTCCCAGGGCAGTAGTAGCTGGACGATAGACAAAAATCTTAAACAAACCAATCTTAAACGAACAAATGGTTGGCCCAAACACCTGCTTCAGCAGACCCTTTGCCCAGAGAAACACAGAAACAGAGCGAGTCAGAAGGGGCCTCCCGGGCCATCTAGTCTGACCCCGGCTCCAGCCGGCTCCGCTCACGACATGACCCCAGTCTGCTGCACAACCTCCAGAGCGCAAGAGGGGGGACCTCAGGTCAGACCCCCGGGCTTGGCGGCAACGGCTTCAAAACCCACACGATGCGCTCTGCGCATGCTCTGATCCCCCTTTCCACGAATTGCTCCCTCTCATTTGGGCGGGCCCTCCCCCGCTCAGCTCACGGCATGCTCTCTTGTCTCCAGCAGCGCTTTGGAAGAGGGGTGGCAGCGAGCACATCCTCCGATGGCCAGCAACAACACCACCAGCATCGCGCAAGCCCGGAAGCTGGTGGAGCAGCTCAAGATGGAGGCCAACATTGACAGAATAAAGGTAAAGCCCTGTCTCAGGTGGCGCTGCCCCTGCCTCTGGGGCTCACCCTTCTCTGGAGCAGGCTGAGGGGAACGGTGCCATCCTCCGTGTCTGTCCTGGCCTTGCTGTGGGGAGACGTTTTCTGCAGAAGAAGCACGTCGATTCTTCTTGAACACCCGACGGCAGGGTGGCCCGTGTATGCGTTTATTTCTCCATTATTGCATTTCCATCCCACCTTTTTCCTCCTGCAAAACCCGAGGCAGCTCACACAGTCCTCCATTTCCTCCTCACAACAACCCTGTGAGGTAGGCTAGGCTCAGAGTCCGTGGCTGGCCCAGAATCGCCCAGTGAGAGCGGCATGGCTGAGTGGGGACCAGAACCGGGATCTCCTGCGCCCGTCCGGCACCCTCACCTCTCCACCCCGTAGGCCCAGGACGGATGTGGCCTGAAGCCAAGCGACGTGGCCGCAGCCGGAGGGAGCCCACCCAGCAGATTGGTCTCACTTTCTTTCCCATTTATCATCGCCTTCATTACTAGTATTATTAAAATTATGTTTATTCTGCTTCTCCCTGCAAAAGTCTCTCCCAGAGCAACTGGCCAACGGTTAGGCAAAACGCAGGGATCCCAAAGGAAGGCCGCTCTGGAACGCGCAAGGCAAGCAGGGGAAGGAAGCTGCAGCTGGCTGCCCGCAGGGCTGGTGGAAGGGCCCCACTTCGCTTCTTCCCTCTGGCCAGGAAGGGGCCCGGATGTGCCCCACGCCTCCCCACTGCCCCCTCCCTCCTTTCCCAGGGGGCAGTTGGCGTGCCCCATCTCTGTTCTTGATCTTCTCTGCTCTCCGTCCCCTCTCAGTTCCCCTGAGACCTCTTCAGCCCTGTCCTGGGAATCTCGCTGAAGGGCCACCGCCTGGCCGGGGGGAGTCCTGGAATCCGGGGGGAGGGGACAGCAGCCGTAGTCAAACACCATCTGTGGGGCCATGAGCTGCCCGCCCCTGTGCTAGAGAGCCGTCCTGTGAGTTTCTTTGGCATCCAGCAAAGACAACTGGTCTGCTCCTCGGTTCCTTGGCCCCACCAACCGCAGGCAGAAATTCTCCTGGACCGGCACCAGGGCTGCCACGAGGCGCTCCGCGTCCGGGGCTCCGAGCCGTCTCCGTGGGCCCCTGGGGCGATGGCAAGAGTCCTCCTGGCACCCCAGCCGGACGGGAGAGGAGCCTGGTGCGTTGGCGCCGCGACGGCTCCGGGTACCACTCCAGAGCGCCCGGAAGCCGAACGCCGCCCTGCTTCTCTTTCCTCCCAGGTGTCCAAGGCAGCGGCAGACCTGATGGCTTACTGCGAAGCCCACGCCAAGGAGGACCCCTTATTGACCCCGGTGCCCGCTTCAGAAAACCCGTTCAGAGAGAAGAAGTTCTTCTGCGCCATCCTGTAAACCTGGCCCGGGGCCTGACTCCGAGGCCGGCCACCCTGGACACTGATGTAGAGATTTTTCAGCAACGTGGACGTGTTTCCAGAGTCCACCCAATTTAAATTTCAAAAAAAATCTAAACAGCCTGGAAGTTTACCGAGAAGCGCACGGCCAGGGAGAACACCTGCCTTCTCCGGAGAACGAATCGACGCTGTCGAACTACGTCATGAGGCTAAAGATCTTGACATCTATGGAGCTGCCTGGGGAGGAAGGAGGGGAAAGTGCAAAAGCGTACGTTCCATTTCTACCTTTTGCTCTTGCCAAACAAAACCCTTTTCTCTTTTTTCCAACACAAGAGGGTTTGCGGAGCAAGGTTACAAACGATGCGGAGGATTGGTGTCTCGCCTTATTACATGGCCTCCCGTTTCCTTTCCCCCACATCACTCTTATTTATGTTGAACTGTAAAATAATTGCAACAGGGTAGATTTGTTCCGATGTTTCTTAGCGTTGAGTCTTGTGCGTATTTAGCGTTTTAGAGTAGTGCTACCTGGGGAGGGGGTGGGAGGGGGGAGCGGGCAGGATCTGCAGCCACCAATCAGTCTAAGCAACTTTTTAGCAAGGGTTTAGCTGAGAACGTGTCATAGTTTCTTGAGTGGGTCAACAGGCTGTCTTGTGCTTTCCTAGCATACTTAGTACCACTGTTTTCTAACATTTGTATTTGGTAGCTTTTGTTCTGCAAATAAACTGTATGTTGTGTGTTTGGAGTCCTCGTCTCGTTCTTTCCCAGTGCTCTGGGCTCAAACCATGGCCAGCTTGCACAATCTCTGGGTGCGGAGTCGTTTCCACCTCGAGGGCCGAGCCTGTCCCACATCAGGGACAGCGCACTGGGCTTGTGAGCTAGCACCTTAAATGACATGCTGCAGGCCTGGAAGTAGAGGTGTCCCAACCTCGGGCCCGTGGGAGAAAACCGACCCACCCGGTCCCTTTGCCCAGGCCTTAATGCCCTTTCCCAACCACTGTGTGATTGCTTCCTGGCCTTGGGCACATTCTCCCCCTCCTAAATACTTTTCCAAAGGCATAATTCTTGGCCGTCAGTGCTTCTTGGTCTGAGGCTCTGAAGCCACTTCACGGAGGCCTTTGCTTCCAGATTCCTTGCAAGATTAAAATTGGCCCCTCCACCTGCCGTCCTTTCCCCAGGAGGCCATTTCTGGCTTTCTCTCTGTTCCAGTACACAACCACACAAATGCACCGATTTCTCCTCCCATTCATTCCCCCAGTTCTGAGTCTTAGGGCACTTTACCCACCCTGAACAAAAACAAAAGTCACAGGAAACAGGAAAGGCTGCGGGGGGGGGGGGCAGGTGTAAAGCACCCCACGGCTTAGCCAGACCCCAGCGCTCCCCCCTTGGAGCTCCCCCCTTGCCGTGGCAGCTCAGCTGTGGCCCAGAAGGCTCAGGAGCCCACGAGAGATGGGAGCCCACGCCACCTCTCTCCCTGGCAGCGCAGGGATTCCTGAGGAGTCGGGGGGGGGGGCTCAAATGACACCCCACACGCAGGTGGATCCAGCCTCTGCCCCGTACGGACTGAGCCACCGGCTTCCCAAGTGCAGATCCTACTCCAAGGAGCAAGACCGCAAACAAGGTGGATTTGCCATTGCGGGGTCAACCCCTCCCCCCAGCCCCTGCCCGCCAAACAGCCGAGGAGCTGAAAGGCCCACTGACCGCAAGATGACGGGCCTCCGTCCCCCAAATGGCGCCCTGCTTTCTCCAGTTCTCTGGGGCACCTTTCCTCCTGGGGAGGAGAGGGCAGCAGGGCAGGCCCCGCTCCAAGCCGCCGCAGAGCAAAGGGCAGAGGAGGCGGCGATCCACGGCACGCGGTCCAGATGGCCACCTGCAGGATCGGGGCAGGGCGTCTGGGTGTGCGCTGGCTGCTGGGGAACAGGGGTGGGAGGGTGCTGTGGGAGGGTCCAGGTCGTCGGCTTCAGTGGGTCTGCGGCAGGCTTGCCATGGCCTCTAATCCCACCTCCCCACCCCATTTCCGACCGAGACTTGGCACCCAAAAGCCGGGCCTTACGGGGGGCAGCTGGGGGCACACAGCTGCCTCCACCGCCGGACTGGTGGGGAAGGGCTGCCCTCCGGCCTTTGGCCGTCTCGGCTGCAGGCCACCCAGGCGGGCGTCCGCTGCTCACCCGCCGGGGCATCACCACCCTGCGTCCGTTGCGGCCATTTCTGGGCTGCCGCTGGGCACGGAAAACCCGCCAGACGGAGTGGCACACCGGCCCCGCTCCGACAGCCCTCGGCCGGACAGGTGCGGACCCACCTGGGAGCCCTCCGAAGCGGGGCCTTCTGCAGGCCCGGATGGCGCCCGCTGGGGAGGCGGCTGTCGGGGGACTTCCTGGCGCAGCTCCGGGCAGGCGGCCTGGTCTCGCGGGCGTAGGGCTGGGCTGCTGGACACCCGCGGGCGGCCCCGACGGACCGATACGTAAGGAGACCCCTGCGAACGAACGGAAGCCAGTTCTCGTGGCTGGAATAAGGCCCGGCGGCTTCCGCGGGTTGGGTCCACTCCAGGGATGCTGCGCTGGTGCCAACCCCTCCGGGCAGCTGCTCTCGGCAGCCTTCTCCCCCCTCGTGCCCAGCGTCCCCAGACGACTCTCCCACCGCCCCCGCGAGTGGCAGCCACGTGCAGGGGCTGGAGAAGCTGGGAACTGTTTGCCGTGCAGAGCGGAGAGAACCTCCACCCCGGAGGAGATCCACTCCCGCACAGAGGCACATGTGGGGAGCTCGGCCGTTGCCCACCTGGTGCCCCAGATGTGTTGGACTGGAGCGCCCACCCTCCCCAGCCAGCCGCAGGCACCGGGTCACACCTTCGTCCAGCCAGGCCTTCGCCACTGAGTGACGGCCCCTCTCCTTTCGAAAGGGGGGTGTCAGGGAAAGCCCCACCTCCCCGAAGCGAGTCTGACAACGGCCACCTCATAAGTAGCCAAGGCAATATGTGAGTATAGCCATTCATTCATTCATTCATTTCATGTATTTGTATGCCGTCCCATCGCATAGCCTCAGGACGGCTTACATAAAATAAAATAAAACATAATACAAATAATTGCGACTAGTAGTCATGAAAAACCCACGGACAGTATCCGATCATGGCTTAGATACCCCGGAGGTAACGCCAAATGGCAAACCCTTAATCACCTTTAATCCCCGCCTTGTAGAAGGTGGAGTACTGGATCACTGCCTTCCCTGTGGCATCAAAAAGCACACCTTTGGAAACAAACGTGTGTGTGTGTGTGTGTGTGTGTGTGAGAGGGAGGGAGGGAGGGAGGGAGGGAGGGAGGGAGGGAGCTTGGAGGTTTTTTCCCCTGACCCTGAGCAACGGAGGCTTTCTGAAATGACTTCCTTACAATTCTACCAGGCTCCCAAGAGAATGGACAGAGCACCGGAAAATAATTCCAGCTGCCATTTCTTGGTCTCCGGGGAGATGACAAAAGCCCAGCTCTGCATCATCCTGCATTGCCTGGATAGGAACCTAACACTATTTTTCCACCACGATACACCTTAATTGTATTTATTACATTGCCAGAACTATTAGAACAAATAAAACTCTAAAACACAGCACAATAACAGCGCAATAAAACATAAAGGAATAGCATAAATCCAAAGTCAAATCCACCAGCAGTGTAAATGTTTAAAAACAGGTTTAAAATCAAGGAACATGAATGATGAAAAATGCTGGGAGAATAAGATGGGTTCTGAAGGTGGGCAGCCAGCAAGCCTGCCTAGGATGGAAATTCCTCGACGGGAGGTGCCACCACTGAGAAGGCCCTGCTTTTAGTCACCACTGCCTTGGGGTGGTGTAATCCCTTTATTAGGGAAGTCAAACTGTCAGCCTATAGAAAGCCAGGTGTTTCCTGCCTATAGACTTCAATGCCCCTGCTACCTGCCCTCAGACATCAGTTATTATTGTATTATTATAACATTTCTATGCCGCCCCTTGCCAAAGCCTCGGGGTGGCTTACAACACAATAAAATACATTGAAATACAATAGAACATAATAAATTACCACTAAAAAGTTGAGGAGTTCGTGGCTTCAGCATAGCTGAGTTTGTGCTGATCAATGGGATGTCCACCCAAAATCAAAGCAAACATCGCAGCCCATGAAAAGAACCCTTTCCTCCTCCGCAGTGCCCTCCAGATGTGGAAGTGCAACTCCCATCATCCTCAGCCTGATGAGAGATGGCACAGTCCAACACATCTGGGGGGCGCCAGGTTGAGGAAGGGTGCTATAAAATTTCCCACAACTCTCAAAATTTATAAAGGACGTCATGATAACCTTAAATTTGCAGAAAAAGGAAGCCAGACCCGGCCAGGCTAAGGATCAACTGCGGCTGCTCTAAACTGCTGCGTTTCTCCATTGCTTTCCATGGGCACAGCTTGCTTTCGTTCGGAGGGAATAAAAATTCCGTAGAAAAAACCCCACCCCGTGCTCTCGTCAGTTTGAATACATCTATGGCGCTTTTTCTAAGTCAGCGTCCTTCTTCCCGCCCCACGCTTCCTCCCATTTCCATTCGCCCACGCGCCTGCCGGTCAAACGCCTCAACGCCATCTCCCGGCCGCGGCTGCCTCCTCCTTCGTCGCACACCGCCTGACCCCCCTCGAGCGCCGATTGGCCGCTGCGGCTGGCACTCCTCCCGGCGCCCGCCCCAGTCAGTGCCGCGCAGGCGCACTCCGGCCGCGTCGCCTTCTTTCGCCGCTTTGCAGCGCCCCGCTCGCTTTTCTGTCTGGCGGCGACAGAACCGAGCGGAGTCTCGCTCGGGGCTTGGCGCGATGTTCCGGCGGAAGCTGTCGGCGCTCGACTACCACAACCCGGGCGGGTTCAACTGCCGAGGTGAGGCGCGAGGAGAGGAGCGGCCGCCAGCAGGCCGCCACCCCCCCCCCCCCCCCGTGCCCTGTCGTGGCCGGAGCATCGCGGTGCGCATGCGCGCCGCCTTTAGCTCGGTCCTGTTCCTTGCTGGCCACGCCCCCAGATCCCTTGCCCCGCCCCGCCCTCCGCGGAGTTCACACGTTACTGTGCCTCACATGGCAGACTCTTCCATCCTTCCAAGTCTGTATTTATTATTATTATTATTATTATTACATTTCTATGCCGCCCCTTGCCGAAGCCTCGGGGCGGCTTACAACACAATAAAATACGTTGAAATACAATAGAACATAATAAATTACCACTGTATCGCGATGCTCATATAAATAAGACAGATACTTAGATCAATAACCTATTTTTTCTGTCTAGATCCAGCCTTTCCCCCTTGTGGATTACCTGATCCTCCTCCAATTCTCCATTTTACTCTCCCAACAACCCTGTGAGGTAGGTTAGGGTGAGAGTCAGGACTGGCCCAGATTCCCTTAGTAAGGGCTAGAATCCAGAACTCTCAAGTCGCCACTCAGCATTCTAAATGCTATGCTACACTGCCTGTCACAACAACCCTTCGAGGTAGGTTAAGCTGATCCGGAGTCACCAGGAAGCTTCTTGGCTGAGTGAAGACTAGATCTCTTTTGTTTTTAACTTAAATTTATTATACCATTTATCTTCCATCCTTCTTTCTCTTGGAAAGCACCCAAGATGGTTGTGTGATTCTCCTAGCATCACATTCTCACATCCACAATGCCTCAGTAAGGCCTTGGCAATTATAGGCGGCCTCTAAATCCATGAATGCATAAACAAACAAACAAACAACTCTGTGAGGTGAGTTAGGGTGAGAGTCAGAACCTGGCCCAAACTTACGCAGGAAGTTTCATGATTGAGTGGAGATGCCTTCTAGTGTGTCCAGCCATGATGAGCTTAGTTGCAGGTCTTTTAACTGTGTCAAGTTGGCACTGGATTGGGCTCTTAAACTGGAAAATCATAGTTTGGGTTATTTCCCACATCTGTTATTCTACTTGGATTTCCTTACTGTGTTGTCCCTTACAGTAATTTTTTCTGAGCTGGATAGGTTGAGATCGACTTTGGCTTCCTTAATGTGGCTTTTATTTCCCCCCCCCCCCCCCGCTCACAGATGAAACTGAATTCCGAAACTTTATTGTTTGGCTAGAAGACCAGAAGATCCGACACTACAAAATTGAAGACAGGGGGAATTTAAGAAACATCCACAACGCCACAGAATGGACAAAGTCCTTTGAAAAGGTAGGCCTGCTGGAACCCTGATGGTGATGCCTACATGCTTAGGTGGCCTTCGGTTGACTTGGACAGACTCATGGCAGATTGTCCGTACAGATGGAGAACGTTAACTCCCCTATTCAAAAACAACGTATCTTGAGCAGGCATTCACAAAGTGTGTGAGCACTTTGTTGTCAATAATTATTTCTCCAAGGCAACAGAAATAGAGGAATGGGTCTCTGAGCACATGCAGAGTGACTTCCTCCCACACAGAATTGCAGGAAAGGACATAGCGAACAGACTGGGCTGCATCCACATGTTTGAATTACTCCACCGTTTGAGTAGTGCTCTCATTACAGTGGTACCTTGGCTCATGAACTTAATCTGTTCCAGGACTCTGGTCGTGGCCCAAATTGGTTGTGTGCCAAGTCAAATTTCCCCATAAGGGTCAATGTAAAGAAGGTTAATCCGTTCTGTAACTAATTTTTTTTTAATCAGAAAAATGTGAAGCAAAGCGACAAAGAACAAACAAGATCGTGGCCATCTCCTTGCCCACCCCCCCAGCACAACCATGATCGCACCCGTCATCCTGGTGTGCTGGGGGGGGAGAGACGGGCACGAACGGGGCGTGCGGGGGGGTGGAGACGGGCGTGTTTGTGCTGGGGGGGGGCGGAGATGGTCGAGATCGCGCTTGTGCTTGTGCAGAAAAGATGGGCGCAGTCATGGGCACGCTCGTGCAGGAAAGGCGGGTGTGATCTCAGCCCTTCCCCCCCCACACACCCACTTGGGGAGTGGGGAGACGGCCACGATCACAGTTGCCACCCAAGGTGAAGTTCGCGACTTGAGTCAAAATGTTTATGAAATTTTTGTTCATGACCTGATTTGGTCGTGAACTGAGGCGTTCGTGAACCAAAGTACCACTGTCCTAGCGAATACACCCTTTGTAACTAAACGACAGAAACTTCCTCTCTCCAAAATCCGGAGTTATTTATTCTCAAGCTCCTAACCCGAAGTTCCTCACAATTAAAATACTTCTTCCTGAATGCACCCAGAACACTCAGTTCTCTTAGGCAGCTGAAATCTTGTCTTCAGTACCAGAGCCGGAAGGGCTAGTGAACACAGTCTAGCTCTAGAAAATTAATTCAGTCCAGATTTTTCTGCCAAACCCCCTGCTTCCATCCATTCGGTTTTAAGATCCAAACATTTCTTCATTTTCTGATGTGGGAGAGGCTGCTGGGCAAAGACATACGGTGTATAAGTGGGAACTACAGAAAACAGAAGTAAACAAGAAAGTCATGAGTTGGAGATTCAAATACTGCTGCCCTGTTCCCCTTCAGTCCCTGTATTGCAGGATGCAGATTAGTGACTTGGCAGCAGAGGCAGGCCTGGCCATCTGATTTCGCTATTAACAGGGCAGTGCTGGCGCTGTATTTTTAACGGGCAGCAGCCTGTGCTGCTTCTGGCTCCAGGCTGCATCTCAGTCATGGTTTCAGGAAGGAAACTTTTGATGGCATGGCAACCACGTTTGAGACTCTTGCCTCGGATTACCAGAAGCTGTCCTGGCCAGTTTGGGGTAAGAGCGCTGGGCAAGGTTGAATCCTGGTTTGGATGCCAGAAAACGTATATTTTATGAAGAGGTGACCGGACATTTTCGCCGATCGTTGGGTACCAAGGATATTAGAGTAGCAGAGCCAGAGCTGTGCTGTTGTGTCTCGGCCCCATGCCCCTATCCTAACGTGGGAGGAAACCAGGGCCGGCTGTGCTAGTTGCTGCCTTTCCATCATCGTCAGGCGAGAAGGACCCGGCGGTCTTGCTGCGGCCCTGAATGAAGCGGAGTGCCAAGTGTTTTCCAGGCTGTTGCTGTAATCCATGGCGTAAACAATCCATGAAGACGTCTGGGGATAAGGAGATGTATTTATTTTATTTTTATTTTATTTAAAATATTTATACCCCGCCCTACACGCAAAAGCATCTCAGGGTGGCTTACAAAAATAAAATCAAAACAAAACAAAACCAAAAAGCCACTGTGAAGTTAAAACCTGATTAAAATTCCTAACAATTAAAATGATGGGCAAATAAAAAGGTATACCATTTCTGCAAAAATAAGACCTAACCAGAAAATAAGCCATAGCATGATACTCTAAACTCGCCTGGTTTTCCTTCTTCCTTGCTTGCTGTTCTCATCTGTTCCATCCGGGACCCACCTGCCTTCTCTGTGAAATTACCTGCACGTGAGCAGTGCCAAGATGGGGCTGAATCTGCAGCCCCAGCCTCTTGTGCCAGCCGCCGGCTTCCTGGCAACTCCTCTGCCTCCTCTGCTGCCTGCTGGAGGCCCGCACTTCAGACATGCCTCGCAGGTTTGATTGGATTCTTTTTTTTAAAAAAAAGCAGCAGCAAGCCTCATGTTATCATCATGGGTTATGTGAGTGTGTGCACAAGTGTCAGAACATGGAAAAGTTCGATTTTTGCCCTTTTGAGGATCAGAAATACGCCTAAGTAGCATCTCCTGCTGCAAAAGGCACAGCCCTCTGTTGGTTTACAGTCTGGGCACTCAGGCCTTGTGGGCAAAGTGTTTGGGACCCCTGGCGTGGAAGGCAGTGAGCCGTGCCAGGAGAGCGAAGGTAATGGGAAGCTTATTTTCTGTTGCCATCCAGGAGTCGCCCTCTCGATTGGATGCACATTGTCTGTGCAGCCTCTCCTGGTTTCTTACACGTCATGAACGTTCTAATTTCACTTTTTTAACAGTACCTTAAAGATGTGAATTGCCCCTTCACCGTACAGGAGCGACAGGAAACCATCGACTGGCTTCTCGGATTGGCAGTCAGGCTTGAGTATGGGGACAACGGTATGTTTAAGCCTTCACCTTCTTTTACGATTGTTCCTTTAAGTCCAAATTCCAGCCTTGTTGTTCAAGCTCAGCCCATGAAAAGCCAGGAGGTCTGAGCCACCTAGCTGCAGTTTACCCTCCAGTGGTGGCTTTGGTTTGTAAGAGGCTTCCAACAGATGCCCCTTCATTTCCATCCAGGGATCGCAGCTCTTTGTCCACGTAACAGCGGAGGCTGCAGCCTCATTCTTGCTTTCCAAGGAAGAAATCTCACTGAGTTCAGTAGGACTTAACTCCTGCCTAGAGGTGTGTAAGGTTCCGCTGTTGTAACACCTTTATTATCACATCCGAGTTCTCCCATCCTTCATCTGGACCACGAAGGTATTGAACGGGGTACTCAGGCCTGGGTGGAGGGGATGTAGAGAGGGGCAGGTGGAAGCTGTGGTCGGATAACGGAGCCGCTCCCAGAAGTAGCGATGCTGTGCGTCTACCCAGGAAGTTAACAGGGCTTAATCCAAGGCACCAGCAAGCCCAGAGGAGCTCGTGGCTCAAGTGCCGCCACGGCTTTGCCGCTCACAGCCAGCCAGCCGGTTGGTCTTGTGCTGCCGTTCGCTTCCCACTTGTTTTTACTGCAGATGAGCGAACGCGGCCGCCCTCCTGGAATCTCGTTCCTTGGGCGTTCGGGGCACAACCTGCTGCGGCTGCCTGTAGGTCCGCACACTCGGAAGATTACAGGCATCCCGGTTGTGAGCCACCCAGAGACTTCTTAGTGTAGGGACGGCATATCAAAACTTTAAATAAAGAAATAATAGCACAAATGAATCCCATCGGTGGAAGAAGGAGTGTGAAGGGGAGGCATGCCTCCGTGCCCCCTCCACCGCGTGACGCTCCAAGGGCCATCTAATGCGTGGCCTCGAGCAGGCAGAGAGAGGCGTGAGATGCCGCTGGGGGGCTTGGTCCGCCTCTCCCTGCCCTAGAAGCCCAGCACCGCCTTGTGGCCCCGGGGCTGCCGCTGGCATGGCCCTTCCCAGGCCAGCTGGGAGGCCAGGGCTCTCCGCTCCAGCTCCGGCTTTGCAGCGAGTCTCCGGGTCAGAGCCGGGACTCCACATGGCCCTGCAGCCCCCCAGGCCCTGTCCGCTCCCCCTCCAGTGGGGTTGCACTGTCACCTCAGGTGAGCGTACCTGGTTCTACTGCCCGCTGCCCAAAAGCTCGGTGGGGTCTGAAACGAAGGCACAGCATGTCACAGTCCTTTTCAGGTGCAAGGACGCGGCTGCCTGAACGTGCTTTCTGGACAGTTTGTGTAAGCCTGATCTTGAACAGGAGCAGTTGGACACCCATTCACTGAGCTAACTTGGAAGGATGTGTGTTTAAAGGGCCCGAAGATTTTAATTCCAGGGTTTGCCCCTGAATAGCTGCACGTTCCCTTTGTTCTGCCCAGCACTCAATTACCGTGCAGGGCGGTTTGGTTCAGTTGACAGACACGTGCGCCTGAAAACGCCGTGTTCTGCCAAACAGCGGCAAACGGGCACCCTCCCTGCCCATTGCTTTTTCCTGAAACCAGCCCCTCCAGCCACTTTTCCCTTGGCCGGTGCTGCAGCAGAGCCGTTGCAGAGAAGAGTGAGACGGGTAAAGGGAAAGCGCAGCACCCTGCTTCCGCTCGCCACCTCTCCGTTTCACTTTGCCGCTGCCTGTTCTGCTGAGACCCCCACCAGGTCTTTGCTGAGACCAGTGGCCCCGGCCTGAATCTTTCCTGAATTTGGGCAAGGCTTTCCTTTCCAGCAGTTTGCATTGTTTTCCTTCTCGAAACATATTATCAGCTGCTATTTGGGCTTCATTGTAGTGATTAGCAATTAACAGGCGTCCGGAACAAAGTCTGTAGGCAGCTGCTGCCGCTCTGTGCGCAAGCTGTTCTCATGGGCGAGAATGCCGTGTTCGCGCCTCTTCCTTTTGTTGCCTGCAGCTTCCCTCCATTTTTAGCTTGTTCTGTGCTCGGTCTGACCCGGTGCCTTTCTTAGCCAACCCGGCTTTTGTTTTCACAGCTGACAAATACAAGGACTCCACTCCGGATGGGGCTAAAAATACAGAGAATGCTGCCAAGAATGCCGAGCCCTTGATTAACCTGGATGGTGAGTGAAGGGGCAGCTTCTCTTTCTTGCTGTTAAAGGTGGCACCTGCACTTAGCAAAACAAAAAGGTTTCCGGGCGGTTGTTTTGGGAGCCACCTGACACGTGTGCTTCTCCGCAGTGAACAATCCGGACTTCAAGACGGGCGTGATGGCGCTGGCCAACCTCCTGCAGATCCAGCGTCACGACGACTATTTGGTGATGCTCAAGGTTAGTGTGCCAACAGCCTGTTTCTTCTCGCTTCAGAAATGCGGGCAGAACTAGTCCAAAAGTGGCTTTTTAGCAAAAACGTTGCTTGTGCAAAGCTGGGGACAGCAGGGGCCATTTTATTCGGCAGCCCTGACCTATTTGGGGAGCAGGGGTGGCTGGGGAAGAAGCCTAGCCAGTGCTTGCGTGGCCATGGCTTTGAGATGAAAGCCCTCTTCCCTTGACTGGCGTTTGTCTTCCGAAGCCCTTCCTTTTCCACCTTCCGCTCTTTTTGGTTGTGCTTAAATTCAGTGCAACTTTTTGTGACAGGATGAACTTATTTCTCTCCAAAGCGACATCTTAAACTAGAGAAACATTCCAGGTGTTTGCTGTCTCAGCCTTGTAGCATATGCTTAGGTTAAAGATGTGAAGAATCCTTCTGAGTATAAGAGCAGTTCCCAGAATAAGACAAGCCCCGGGGCTGAACCGAAGCAGGAGTCCGTCTAGTCCACCTTCCTGTTCACACGGAGGTCGAGCAGAGCAGCCAGCTGTGGGGAAGCCAGAGGCGGGCTGAGCGCAGTGGCACCCTCCTGGCCAAGTCCATTTATTTATGCATGTATTTATAGGCCGCCCGTAGCTGCCGAGGCCTTCCTAGGCAGCTCGGCCTTCCAGCAAGCGGGGAACCAACCCTAACACACCCACCCACCCCCCCTCCATACTCGAGGCTGTAGAGCTCCTTAAGGACAAGCGGCCATTGCTTCTCTGTGAATTTGTCCAGGCCTCCGTTAAAGCCATCCAGATTGGCAGCCGCCGCAGGGTCTTGCAGAAGTCAGCCCCCCATCAGCCCCCCAGTGTAGCTACATGTGGAGGAGAAGGACCCCCCCCCCGGCTTCCTTCCTTTCCTCTGTCCCAGCAGCTCAGCTCGGGCTCCTTCAGAAGCATTCCCGGGTGTGCCACAATCCAAAGGCGGCTTCTTCAGGCAAGCCCGCCTAGTTCAGAGGGGCTTGTGCCTGCTTTGAACAGCACCTGCCTTTTGCTGCAAGTGCCTCCCGTAATAGGTTACTGTAACGCGCTGTATGTGGGGCTGCCCTTGAAGACGGTCCGGCAGTTGCGACTGGCACAGAACAGGGCCTCTCGGTCAGCGACGGGAGCCCCTAGAAGGGTTCACAAAAGACCTACAGCGGAAGAACCACACTGGTTGCCAGTTGCGGCCTGGGCTCAGTTCAGGGTCCTCGTGCTGACACACACAGCCCTCGGCGGCTTAGGCCCGGCTACCTCAAGGAGTGCCCGTGCCCGTGCATGCCTGTCCAGCCTTTGGAATCCGTGCAGGGGGGCCCTGTGTGAGCTTTCCCCTAGGGAGGCAAGAGGGACGGCTGCCAGGAGGGGGGCCTTTTCTGCCACTCCTCCCCACATTTGGAACGCTCTCCCTAAGGAGATTCACCTGGCGCCTTCTTGATTCCCTCTGGCACCCAGTGAAGACCCTCCTTTTTAAGCAGTCTTTTAATAGTTGTTTTGTATTTTTATCTGTATTTTACTAGTATTGTATTTTTTAATCGTTATTCGTTTTATTGTGTTTTTTTAATCTTATGATTGTGGGCTGGCCAGAGGTGCTGTGGCACAATTGGCGGCATACAAATGTTTTAATAAAATAGAAATATATAAATATAAAATAGTACATAAAATAAAAATTCACTTGGACCAAGGATGTGAGAGGGCAGGCCTTCTTCAGGTTCTGCACTCGCGTGGAAGAGAAACGTTGGGGGCCTTGGATGCTTTCCCACTGCAGGGAGACACGCCGCGGAGGCCCTGGGTGGGGTTTGCTGGGCGGTGCGGCCCAGCTCTGCTGGTGGGCACCACGCTGGACGGGCTGTCCCAGCGGGTGTCCTGGAAATCCCCCCTGTTGGCCGCCCACCGGGCCTCCCGCCAGCACTCGCAAGGCCTGCAGGATGCCACAGGCTCACGCAGGTGCTCTCTTCTTTCCTTCCAAGGCGATCCGCATCTTGGTTCAAGAGCGCCTGAGTCAGGATGCCATCGCAAAGGCCAGTCAGTCGAAAGAGGTATGTCTCCACGCATCCCCGTGTTTTGGCCTCTTCCCGTGACGTTGAATGGTTCTCATATTCAAACAAGCTGTTTATAGAGGTTATAAAGAGCGTGGATCCAGGAAGTCAGGCAGAGCAAAGCTGCAGGGGAAAGGCTGTTTTCAGCAGTGGCTGCAGTCCGTCCTGGGCTACTTCTCAGGCCCCTTTTCAGAGAGGTGGCCCTGGATGTGCCAAGGCCAGGCGCACGCTTCTCCGGCGGACTGCCGCTAGCCACAGGCGGGTTTGCTCGGGTTTGCCCAGAACCAGATGCCCCTTCCAGAGCCATCCAGCTGCAGCTGCAATCCTCCGATGGGACACAGGCACTGTCCGGCGCCACGGAGCCACGAAGGCGGCGAGGCTGGAGATCCCCAAATGCACAGCGGGCAACCAGCCTGGCACACGCTCAGAAAGCCGTGTTTTGTAGCGGGGGATGCCGTGCCCAGAGCTAGGCTTGGAGCCCACCTTGCCAGTAAATTCCTCTTGACGGTTTCCTCTGTAGCAACCTGCCCTGCACAAGAGCATGTGCAGAGTGCTTCTCTTGCCAGCTGCTAAAGGCCACGAGGAAGCTTTCTGCATGGTGACAAGAGCGGCAGACTCGATGCAGCGGGCTAGGTAGGCGGCAGGGCACAGTTCAAGACACGGTTCAGCAGAAAAAGGTCAAAACTCCCATGCCGGCTGGGGATGCTGGGAGTCGTAGGAAGTTTCCCTTTCTAACGATGCCTGGGGTTGTGCTGCAACACGGGGGCCACATTTGAGCAGGAAGTATGTGAGGTAAACAAGGATTCGACACGGCTAAGTTATGCAGTGAGTAAGTTTTCTCTCGTGGGCTACTTAGGGTGTGCTTTACCCCTCGTGCAGCTGTTCAGTTACCTGAACCTGGCGTTTCTCCTACTGTTTCTCTGCTCCTCCAAGCCCCCAAAGAAGGAAGGCGAATCCTTGCCTCCCAGGTGGCGCAAGGGCAGAGATGGGGTCTCCTCGAAACCCTCCTGAATTGAGCAGATGACAGACAATGGGGGGAAGGCCGGCTGCTGCTGTTTCCGCAAGATCCCACCTCACCCTCCACCTCGGTGTTTCTGACCGAGGGTGCCAGGCAGGTGCGGACCCTGGAGGTGCAGCGAGGATTTGCCCCCTCCTCCTGCCTTCACAAGTTTCTGCACCTCGGAAGAGTCTTTGCCTCTCCGTCTCTCCAGAAATCACGGCGGGCTTGCGCAAGGGCTTCCTTGCCCTGTCATGCGTCTGGCCCTTGCCGCTCGGCACGCAAGCGGGCCCAAGCTTCTTCCAAGCTTGAAAAAGGAGCGCAGAGGAAACCCCACTCTTTCCCAGAGGGTCTCTGCAGGAGAATTTGCCGTGAGAACCAGTGGAGGTTCGGCTTACGAACCAAGCGGCTACTGCTTGGCCCTGGTTTGCCCACAGCCCTCTTCTCCAGCCTCCTAAGAGCCACCTGTATGCCGTTGTGTCGGTCATGTGCCAGCTTGGCCTAGCGGGGCTGCAGCCGGGTGGCGAAGTGCAGATCGTGCCCCTGCGGCCCCAGCTGCAGCGACCAGCCTCTCCGGCGTCAGACGGGAGCATCCGCACGGACCTTTCCTTGCGGGCCCCTTTCCCTGCGCTCCACCTGCACACCTTCAGCCACATGGAGGGACAGACTGTGACTGTGATGAGCAAACACTGCCTCTGCCTTGCATTTTCTTACATTGTGACTTTGTAAGTTGATGCCGTATTGCAGGGAACTTTGATACAAAGGTTTATATGCTGTTTTTTTTTTAAAATTAACTTAAAAAGAGCAAAGGAGAGGTGGAAAGGACCTCTGCGTATTCCCTGCCGGCAGCAAGGGTGGGGGGAGCATCAGGTGAGATGAACCTGCACTCGGATTCAAATGTGAGGCCTCCCAGGTGCCGGCCGAATTAAATGCCTGGGCTGAAAGGCAGAGGACTCTTCTGTGGTCCTCAGGAAGCTCCACTGTGGACCGAAGAGCTTTTGTCTCCAAAGTATCCACCTTTCTTGGTACTCAGTCCTGACGTTCGTGTGTTCAGCTGAAGTCAGTGTAAACACAGAAGGAGAATCCGGGTTATCCAGGCCTTGCACTGTTGGAGCTGCCTTTTAAAGAGACCTGTCAGTTCTCAGCGCAGTAAACGAGAGTGACGCCCTCTCACTCGGAGGCCGGTCACAAGACGGACGGGGCCGGGCTTGGGCTCCGCCAGCGCAGAGCCGTTCTCCTCCGTGATGCGCTCCCTCTTTCCTTCCTGCAGGGGCTGCCCGTTGCCTTGGACAAGCACATTCTCGGCTTTGACACAGGAGGTGAGCCTTCCTTCACGCTTCTCTCCCTGGGCCGTTCTGCACAGTTGCGTTACCACACAGTAAACTCGCTCCTTCCTCTTCTGGGCACAATCCCAACATCCCTTCTTCAAGGTTGTGCTGCTGTTGTGAAGAGGTCTTGGTGCGCATGCTGAGATAGCACAGCATTTTGCCTCTGAGTAAACCTTTGCCTCATGCTCATGGCGAGCCATTCCCTGCTCCTCCCTCTGCTCCGCAGCTGTGTGTATTTATGGTATTTATTTTCCTGGGTGTCCTGCCATCATTTGCACGCTGAGAAATGCTTGAATGGAACTCGGTGGCTGGCACGTGCTTTGCACGCAGGCGCCGCCGGGTGTGATCCGTGCCGGCATGTCTGATGCCATGCGGCCTGCTCCAGCCTTCGGCTTAACTCAGTATGATCCCTGAGCAGCCCTCTTTCCGCACAGAAGGCGTGGAGAGGGCCGGAGCTCGGGTGGAACACATACTGCAGTGGTGCAGATGGTCCCAATCCCCGGCGGCATCTCCGGGCAGGGCTGGAAGGGCCCTGCTTGAAACTTGAGCAGTGCTGATGCTTCTGGGGTTTTAAGTGCCCGTTGAAGCGGTTAGCTGGGCAGGAAACTAAGAATGCGGGAGGTGGAATCTTTGCCCTCTTCACCTCCACGCAAACAGGCAGGGGCACTTGCCGAGGCCGGGCTTGGAGGTGACATTTTGCCTTGCCCTGACCCACGGGGAGTGCGAAGAGGGGCTCCCGACCTCTGTCTTGGAGCCGTGATGGCGTGGCCATTATCCCAGTGTGCCCAGAGGGCCGGGTGCCTTTCCCAGTGCACCTCTGGGGAGCCCGTGGACAGGCCGCTGTCCTCGCTCAGGACACAGCCACACCGCCTGCTTGTGAAAGGTTTGGGTGTGCCGAGGGCACCCAGCGCCTGCAGCAGGCCAGCCAGTCGCAGAGACTTGGCCCTCTGCTCCGAGAAACCCGCAGACTAAGCCTGAGCCCAGTTCCTTTTCCTCTTTCGTCCAGATGCCGTTCTCAACGAAGCTGCTCAGATCCTCCGGTTGCTGCATGTAGAGGAGCTCCGCGAGCTGCAGACGAAGATCAACGAGGCCATCGTGGCGGTGCAGGCCATCATCGCCGATCCAAAAACTGACCACAGACTGGGCAAAGTTGGGCGATGAAGGAGCAGGCCCCTCCGGCTTCCCTGTGTGGCTGGCGCCGAGTCGGGGCGCCCCTGCCCCCAGCATGCAATCCCGAAGGGCCCCTGGTCCCAAGAAACCAGGGCAGCCGCCCGCGACCCCTCCGTCTCGTTTTTCCTGACATCAATAAAGCTTGGATTAAACAGATCCACACTGTTCTCCTTTAGCAAGAGGTTGCCAAGTCCCGTAGCAGCTCAGAGATCCCTCTTTGACTTCGTTCGGGCAGAGCGCGTGCTGCAGGCTCGTACAGGCTGACAGTTCCGCTCTTTTGTGAGTCCTGCGGGATGGTTCTTACTTAGCCAAGCTGGCGTGGTTCCTAGCCTGCTAGAGACAACCCTGAAACGGCATGACGAAAAACCCAAACTTTTTTTTTATTTGATCCATGAAAGAGTCTAGAAAACAGGCAGGTACGCCATGCGCAGTCAAGCGTGTGACCAGACTTTCGGGGTGGGGGGGGGATAAATTTGAACCCGCTCTTGCTAGCATATTTTCTCATATAAATACTAAAAAGACATGCACTGAGTCAGAAGGGACAAAAGGTGGGAGATACATTGCCTTCCAAAACACGGGAGTCGTTTCACTGGCATCTTTAAGCATCGCTGCCCAAGCCATTCTAAAATAGTTTCCCCTTTCGAACTAAGAAGGTTCCCTTCCACCTCCACTGTTTTAAAAAGTGTAGAGTCTCGTGTTTTTCAATAAAATAACCGTGGAATAAGGCTATGTTTATATGGTCATATTTTTTTACAAAGTTGCTCCCATCAGCAAAATGAGTATTATTCGCCCCCTAATCCATAGCACCATTTCTTCTTGGCAATATATAAAAAAGTTTTCACTTTGTAAAAAATAAAAATACAGTAGTAAAGATTTGAGGTATAACTTAAAAATACTGGATAATTTTGCTCTAAGTTAAACCACTTAATTCCCTTCGGTATAAATCGCCAGTTGTCCTGATGGAGTTGGAGGGGCCCCTCTTGCAGATGCACAGTCATGTCAGATACGGGAGTCTTCCAACTGCTGTGGTGGGACCGGTCCCTTCTCTCCCATTCCACGTAGCAGACAGCTTATTTTCGTACTGCAAAAAACAGAAAGGGATTAACAGATCAGCTGGAAGGAGGCCGAGTCGCTCATGGGGAAGACATGAGCTCTTTCCCACAGCTTCTGTCTCTTTGATGGCGAGGTGCCTCTAACAGCCTTTGGAATAACCCTCCACGGGTATTTCCCTTCCTCTCTCCACAGGCAGCTGCCTGCCAAGTTCCCGGGAGAAGGTTTAAAAAGGGATCGGGAAGTACAAGCTGAAGGAGGTCCTCCAGACTTGCCGAGGAAGAGGTGCAGTGTAGCCTAGCGCATTCAGAGGTCCCTGGGCCAGAGAAAGGTGCTTTCCGGGAGATGCTAGATGACAGAAGCTTGCAGCAGAACAGCTTGAGAACCTCGACCATGGAGCATGGCGCTCTGGCCATGCACAGAGCACAGAAAGTGGCCTCTTGCCGTGCGTCTGTGGCCAACGAAGGCCACGCTGCTCCCCTTAGCACTGTGCCGGATGTTTTGCGCCAGACCCTTTCAAGACAGCCGTGCTGGAGCCAACTCGGGGCCGCTGGCTCTGGCGCTTGCTTCACAGTGGCCACCCCACGCCACGCGTACGGCGGCAGAGGCCCTCCTGCTGGCTCGTTGGGCCTTTCTGCCTCCCATGTGGAACGAGGCAGTTTTACACCAGCCGCCTTGGATCTCTCACAGCAGGAAAAAATGGCCAGACATAACTGCCCTATGAGCGCGATGGCTAGTAGCCACCTGGAGGAGGGAGTGGCGTGCTTTCTGGGCAAAGCTTCCCTCTCCCTTTCCACACTTGTGACGGGAAGATCTTGCTGGCCGGCTCAAAGCATGCATTTCCGAGCTCCTCCATCCTGCGGCTAAGGCAAGGGGGTGTTGCCCCACGCTCCGCGGAAGGGCATTGGCAAAGGCAGGCAACGAGCCCCACGGCGCAGCGAACCGAAGCACGCCGAACTAAAGACCCTGGTTGTGGGGCACACTCCCTCTTTCCCCCTTGCACCCGAACAAGGGCAAATAATTCTGCAGCACCTGATGAGAAAAAATGCTTGAACCAGGCCGCAGCGTTTTTGGAGAGGAGCAAAACGGGTGGGAGAGCCACCCTGCCCCTCTCGCCAGAGCCCGTGCTCGTACTTTCTGTGTTTACCTCCTGGGCAGTACGCGTGAACGGCTGTTATTCCATAGAGGTGTGTCCGCTGTTCTGGAAGGTATTCCCCCGTGAAAGCACCGCTGTCTCTGTTCACAGCTATAACGCCATCCCTGCGCAGAGAAAAGCAAAATGCTGTTTTGGACCGATGCCCTTCCTCTCCTCTCTAAATAGTTTTTGATCGTGTTGAGTCAGAAAGCGAAGCTCTGCTGGGTTTTGGCCCATTTTTCGGGTTTAGCACAGCGAGAGCCAAACCTGTGACAATGGGCGGAAGTCTCTTTAAATAGCTGGAATTCAGTGCAGCAGGAAAATGGGGATTTTTAGAGGCCTGATTCTAGACTCTCTTACTGTGTAACTGCTGAGGAGGGAGTATACGCTTCGGGAAACTTTTTTACAGCTAGGACCCTCACACGGAGGGATGTGAGCACCAGCGTCTCTTGGCGAGGGTGTTTGACTGGGGATGTGGGAGGCGCAGGTTCTAGACCCCTCTCAGTCATAGAAGCAGAGCGAGTCAGAGGGGGTCTCTGAGGCCATCTAGTCTGACCCCCGGCTCCAGTTGGCTCCGCTCATGACATGCCTCCCATGGGCATGTCTAGCCTATCCTGGAACACCCTCACCAATGGGGCTTCACTCCCCATGGAGCTGCCTGGGTAGCCTTGGGCCAGTCCCTCACTTGCAGCCCAGCCTGCCTTGCAGGGCTGTTGTGAAGGTAAAATGCAGGGCAAGGCAAGCCACCCTGGGATTCTCACCAGAGGAAAAGGGGCGAGAGGTAAGTGCATTGTAGTTACACTAAAAACGCTAGTGCACGAAGGAGAGCAGCCCAAGACTTTAGGCCGCTTGGGCGAACGGCGGCATTTTCCGCCCGCAATGTGACCTCAAACCATGACCCTTTCCAGACAGCAAGGGGCCACCTACCTTCGCCAGTCTGTGTGGTAGAAATGATTGGCGTAGCTAACGATGCCGAAGGGGTAGTTGAGGTTATTCTGGATGGCGCGTCTTCCTGTGCCATCGGGTGAGATGCACTCCAGCTTCTTGGTTCCTATTCCGAAGAAAAAGGGCCATCGGAGAGCAGAATCTCTTCGCCCCTGCGCTGCTCTTGCGCAGAAGCCTTGAGTCGTCTTTTAAACACAATCAAGCTTTCGAGACCTCCCAACCCATAACCAGACAGGAGACTTGATCAGGGGATTTTGGGGGGAGCCTGCGGCCATCCCAAGTCTGCCCACCCGCCCCTGCTTTGGCCTCCCCATGAGATGAATCTTAAAACAGTGGATTCAGTTGGGAAAATGTGACCAAAACCTGGACTCCCCCCCCCCCCCCGCTCCACTTTCTTTCCTTTCCCCGAAATCAGCATTACCTGCATCTGCCCAACAAACCAGCTTGGAAAAGGGGTCAAAGGTTAATCCGTTTGGCAGCCCGATGTCTTGGTTGACCAAAATCTGCCGGTTTTCTCCCGTCACAGTGGATGTCTCTATTTTGGGGGCCTCGCGATTCCAGTCCGTCCAGTAGAGATTCCTGGGAGGGCAACCGAACAGTAAACACCAAGGCTGGCTGCCTAGTCGAGCCAGTTGAGCAAACACAACGAGGACACAGAGTTCCTTGACGTGCAACTGGCGCGCATCACCTCTTGGGGGGACACCCTCTGGGGCTCCCGGATCACCCGCTGGCAGGGCTGCAGTGGCGCTGCACCCAAAAGGCACAGGCCTTTTTCAGGAGGGGACCCCAAAGGGCAGAATCCCCCCACTTCTGCTCTGTTGGCTCCAGTTCGGAAAGAGCAAATGTTTTTCCCACTGGGGCTTTGGGGGTAAATATTTGCCCCTGCATATTTTTCAGGCAGCCTTTCCCAAGCAAAAAGACCAATTGCAGTGAAGAATGAAAACAAGACATCTCAAGCGACCAGCCCATGTTTTGACAAGGCTTGGCTTCGTCAAGAGATGCCAAAATTATGAAATCCATCCTGTGTTTGTAGATTATCCAGTAACTGCCATTCCTTCCACCGTCAGGTCATGGGTGGAATCCTTTTTTTAACCAGAATTTCCTTCTGCCTGCAATAATTCACAGCAATGTGAACCCCAATCTGTGTGAACCCCACCACCATCAGAGTAAAAATCTGCTCCGGGCATCCATGTGATGGGATCCATCATACTGGTCCCCAGCAGAATCCACGCACTGGGGGAATGACAGCCATCCCGATCCATTTTTATCTGTTGTGGAGTTCCCCAGTTTCCCTGACCTCAGCCCCCTCTCTAGAGAATGGGAAGACTAATATTGGTCTACCTTGCAGGGTTGTTGTCGGGATTAAAAAATCAGGGCTTCGAAATGCTCTACACACCTATTCAAAGGTACGTCCCACTGAGTTCATTCAGAGCCACGCCAGGTTGGAGCTGGGGCCATGTTTTGCTGGGGCGTGGAGGTCGCACAACTGACCTTGGAGCCAGAATCGGGCCCATCCCTGACAGGATGCCTGCAACCCTCCGAGTTTCGGTGCTTACAGGCAGCCACATGAGATCAGGCAGCCCGGTGCTCTGGCCAGAAGTCGGCTTTCCTCTGAGCAACTCACCCGCGGATCGGGTCCACCGCAATGGCACGAGGGTTGACCAGCTCTGTGGCAAAGAGGACTCGGCGCTCCGTGCCATCCAGCCGGGCCCTCTCGATTTTGTCCAAGCCACTGTCCGTCCAAAACATGGTTCTTCGGAGATGGTCTATGGCCAGACCTTCCGGACTGATCAGCCCTAAGCAAGGAGAAGCCAAAGAAAGACACGTCCCGGCAGGTGACTCTCCGACTCTTTTCATGGGCAGGACTGACGCACCACACGCCATGGGAATGTTTAGCCCTCTGCTTCCAAACTTGGAGGGGGTTGTTGCCTTGGAACAGCCCCACCTCCCTGGCAGCGCCATCTGTAGAAAGCTGCTGTAAAACTGGAAGCCAAGTAGGACTGCAAGCATTGACCAGCTAGAATGCAATCAGAGGCAAGCTTAGACAAGAAAAAGGGCCGCAGCTCCCAGCTCGCCGCACTTTTTCATCCAAATGCACACAGGATTGCGAGCTTGCTTAAGCTTAGACAAGCTTCACGGTGCCCTCCAGAAGCTGGACCAAAACTGCCATGATTCTCAGTCATTATCACACACTGCCTGAGGATTATGGGAGTTCCAGTCCGGCACATCTGCAGGGCACCAGGTTGGAGAAGGTGGACGGATTATCTTTATTATTTAGCAGACACAGCCCTTTAGCTGCCCCAGAGGTTCTTTCTGCAGCGTGCAGAAAGTCTGTCTCAGTCCGTCGTCCTCATACTGACAAAATCGGCACAAGAGAAGCTCTCGGCAACGAAATCGAGCTTGGGCGTCCATTAGCTGCAAAAGAGGCGAGGCAAGTCCCTGACATCTGGCAGGGACCAAACTGGGGAAAATGGACTTAGATAGTCACGATAACCATCTCCAGCCTCTCCCCATGGAGTCCAAGGTGGGGTACACAGCCCTCCTCTCTGTTTTATCCTCACAACAACCCTGTGCGGTAGGCTAGGCCAAGAGTTGGTAACCCGGGAGCCCTCCCTTAAGGAGATCAGGAGGTGACTACCCAGAGAAGGGCCTTCTCTGTGGCGGTGCCCCAATTTTGGAATTTGCTCCCCAAAGAGGTTCGCCTGGTGCAGTCACTTTATTCTTTTCAGCGCCAGGCCAAAATCTTTTTATTTTCCCCATGTTTTAAGACCTGACCATTTTAATTGTGGTCTTATTATTAGTTGATTTTTAGGACGCTGTGTTTTAAAACGTTTACACTTTGTATTGTTAAACCATCCCGAGACCTCGGTCATGAGACGGCCTAGGAAAGTTTTAAATAAATAAAATAAGTGACTGGTCTAAAGTCACCCAGGGAGTTCCAGGCCAAGTGGAGACGAGAACCGGAGTCTCCCGATTCCCCAGTGGATGCAAAGCACGGTTTTCACCACTGCTCTGCTGCGCGTTCTTGTAAGGGCTGCAGACTCTGGACCCAAGGCCCCGCGGCCGTCCTGAGACCCCCCTGCCACCTCTCCCCTCGCAGCCAGCTGGGGGCAAGCCGTGGCACGTTTCCCCTTGTCGGGCCGGGACGCCTGCCAGGGGATGGCGCTCTCCCGCTGGCCCCGGCGGGCGATCCGGCCACCTACCCGAGCTGACGAGCGTCTCCGGTTCCGCCCCCTGCTCCAGGCCCGCCCGGCTGATGGTCCGCCCAGCCACGTCCGTCCAGTACATCATCCTCTCCCGGCAGTCGTAGTCGATGCCCACCACGATGGAGCCCTGAGCCGCAGCGCACAGGAGACAGCGTCAGCCGGGACGTCTGGCCACAGGGCTCCCGAGGGTGATGGGGCGGACGCCCCCAGCGGTCAATGCTGCCTGCCCTCAGGCAGCCCCCGGCCAGCCCTCTCCCCAAATCTCCCCTCCCTGTGCAGGATCCGCCCCTCCGCAAAGGCCTCGTCACACGTCCTGCCTTTCGCCTCATCTGTATTTGATTTTGTGGTTTTGCTCCTCCTGCGCGCGAGCCAAGCTTCACGTGCGCCTGCCCCACTTCCTTTCCCCTTGGCAACAACAGCCCTGTGAGGTAGGGAGGCTGAGAGTCCATGACTGGCCCAAAGTCACCGAGCCAGACAAGACAGACCTCGAAGCTCCGTGATTTTGGAAATCATTATTATCTGCGAGGCTGCATGGGGAGAGAGGAGGCGGAATTTCAGGAAAGTGCTTCCCTGAAGTTGTGGGAAGATGCGGCGGGGGGGCGGGGGGGGGGACCACAACACGCCAAATCGCAGTCCCCCTCCAATCCCAACACACGCCTCTCTGCATTTCAGGAACAGGTAAGGAGACGACCTGCCCTCTTTCAGCCCTCAGGAGAACGCGGCTGAGGTGCTCTGCAGGCAAAATATTCCAGGTGGGGATCGGGGGTTAATCCCCAACATTAAAACCATTCTGTACATGCAAATAACCAATCCCAGTGATTTAAATTTGCCTTCCCCAGCCTAGTGCCTTCCACACATGCTGGACTGCAATTCCTATCTTCCCCAGCCAGCACAGCAATGGCCGGAAACAATGGGAATTAAAGGGGGCACCCGTTCGGGAAGGCCAGACTGAAAGTATGCAAGCTACATGAACCTGAGAGGAATGTTTGAAGGGAGTTTCCGGCAACGGGCCTGACCAGGCAATGGCAAAAGCATTCTGCACAGGCTCCATGGCACCCTTTTTAAGTTGCTTCATCCATCCAAGGGGCTAGTCCTCATGCTGAATTGGGCTCAGGGCTCTCACACCAAACCCACTGCAGCCAGGCACTGAGCTCTGAAAGGGCATCAAATTCCGCCACTGAATGATTTTGCACAAGTGTGTGTGTGTGTGTCTTTGCACGCACAGTCATGGGGCAGGCTGGCATTCTGTCTGAAACCCCACAACATCCTGGGCCAAACTCGAAAAAGATCAGCAACAGAATGCTGTGGCCCTCTTTAATACTGTTATAATAGCTGTTTTGATTCATTAGTGTTCTAATAGGATTTTAATGTGTTTTATTATGTTTTTATATGTTTCATTTATTGTAAGCCGCCTAGGAAGGGCTCTGCAGTTATAGGCGGCCTATAAGTATGTGTATAAAGAAACTCTGCCTGATCCTTCTCATCTTCGGCAAGGGGCAGCATAGAAATGTTATAATAATAATAATAATCTTTATTCTGGGACGTGTATGCACACCATCCCCTGGAAATTCTGTGCGCCTTGTTCGCCGAGAATGACTGAAATGGTAAAATGTGAACTGATCTTTGGACAGCTGCATTTTTGCACAAGTGCTGGAATATTCCCGATGGAATCCCCGGAGGTTGCGCTTTCTGCCTGTTTTGATTTCGTGGGAATCTGCTCAGTCCCTGATGATTGTGTGTGCGTGTGTGTGTTTATCTGTCCATGAAGAGGTGGTCTGGAGAACATCTGGCTTCCCCTCCAAACACAATCCCCAGATGGAGCCTTGGGAACCTCATTTGCAAATACTTCTTGGCCCTGAATTCACAAAACTTTGGGTAAATATTATTAAGAGTCGGAGGTGATCAAGGCGGAGGCGGCGGAGAGGCTAAAAGGGTCGTTTCTCCCTGCAACTCTCAAGCCACACGCCTGAAGCCGGGGTCTGCCGGAAGTGTTGCGCCACACGGCATGCTGGCTGGGGATAAGGGGCGTTATAGGCTGCCACATCTGGAGGGCACCAGGTTGGGGAGGGGGAAGGACACCCATATCTGGCCTAACTCCCCTGTGGATCCCGAACCTGGTTATGACAGCTTCCAAGGGGCAGTTTTTGCAATAAAACCTGTTCTAAAACCGGGAGGGGGCTAAGGAGGTACTAAAAGTTTTGGACAGTCCTGCACAAAGAACAGCTTGGGGCGCGACGTGGAGGCAGCAGGGGAGCGGACAGACGCGGGCGACCCTCGTGCTTCCCGGGACGGCTTCGCCAAGGTGCGTGACACAGCCAAGCGCCAAAGCACCAAACTCCCCCTGGTCTTCTCAGCCGAAAGCCGAGGGGCTTTTTAGATTCCTTTCCCACTCTGGTGCCCCGCAGATGTTTTGGATTACAACTCCCAGCACTCGCAGCCCTTGACCATGCTAGCTGGGGCAAACAGGAGTTGTAGTCCAAAGCATTAGGAAGGCTGTACCAGCAAAACTCAAGGCTAGTTTGTGTTAAGGGTGTCGCTCCAAACAGCGATTTTCAGACGAAAAGCATCTGTGTTGGAGCTATTCGTCGTTATTTGTTTTTCGGCGCCAGGCGAAGACCTTTTTATTCAAATGTCATTTTAATTGTTAATAGTATTTATTTATTTTATTCTTTGGCCAGGGCGACTTAATTTATACTGTTAATTTATATTATTCATTAAGTTTATTATGGATGTGAGTCGCCCTGAGGCTTTGGCGATTGGGTGGCATAGAAGTCTCCTAAATAAATAAATAATAATAAATATTCCCGGTGTGACTTCAAGAGGTCCCTTGGGGCCTGACCAGCCTCGGGCGGCAGAGGAGAGCGACTCTCCCTTCCCTCCCCAGCTGCACACCGACGGGCGCCAGGCCCGGCTCGGGGCATGCTCGCTAGGATCCCGCAGCGCCCCCACCCCACGGCTGCCTTCAGCGTGTGGGGCCTCGCAGCCCGGTGCGTGGCCGAGAACCCCCCACCCGCCCCGCGGCCCCAGACGCCGAGCAGGGACAAGAGGCTCCGTTACATGCAAGGAGAGCAGCGTCCTCGCGTCCTCCTTCTTCAGCCTCGTGCCGTTCAGGGGCAAGGAGTTGATCTGTTGGCCCTGGGCGTACAGCAGGAACGTCCCCCTCGCAGGAGCGGCGATGTCGGGGCGCGGAGACGGGCGAGCGGTCGGCGGGGCCACACTGGGGAGGCCTGCGGGAGAAGCGAGGCGTGAGGACACACTGTACCCTGAGGAAAGACACGGGCAACGCTGTCCCCCAGCCCCCCGAAACGCCGTGCCGCACCCCCCTGCCGGTCCCTCCTCCAGCGAGGCTTGGCCAGAGGAGCTGTGTGGCAGGGACTCCTCGGTGGCAGCCCCCAGAAAGTGGCGCCCCCTGCCTCGGGAGGCTTGCCTGGACACCTGCAATCTGTCCCCCGCTACAGTTGATGCTTTTCTAACAAGTTGGCGGGGGGCGGTTGATGTGGGATGAAGATTATCGCAGTTACGTGCCAGCACGCCGCCTCTCAACCCAGGGGACACGCGCCTCCCAAAATCCAGCCCTGCGCGGCCCTGCCTGGCCCCCTGAAAGTCAAGACGGAGGTGATCCACCTCCTAGCTGCTCTTCCCACCCTTCTCCTGCCTTCCCCAGGCAGTCTGGTCTTCCCATCAGGCGTCCGGACGAGGACAGCCTCCGTTTTGCCGTTTTTACTTCCACGGAAAGCACTGGCTCGATTCGATCCAGCACCCTGTGGTTTATCTTTCTGCCAATCCAGGGCATTTGCACAGCTCTCCTCCTACAGCATGCTCCAAATATACCAATTTTCTTCTCATCAGCTTTTGTCACTATCCAGCTTACACGGTGGCTGGGAATTCAGCGGTGTGGATGCTCTTGGGCTTGAATGCTTCCAATTGGTGGGTCATTGTTTTGTTTTTGCTATTTGTTGGCATATGCGTGCCGGGATTTGAGCAAGGTAGAAACGCGGAAACAGAGCGAGTCAGAAGGGGCCTCCCAGGCCATCTAGTCTGACCCCTGGCTCTAACCAGCTCTGCTCATGACATGCCCACCATGTGCATGTCCAGCCTATACCTGAACACCCACACCAATGTCTTGTCGGTGTTCGGACAACACACTAAGCCACAGAAGGACGTCTAAACCCTAGAACAAGCTGTGGCTGCTGGGGGTGCTGCAGACACGGTCCCGGGGGATCACACAACTCATTACGCTGGCCCCAGTGGCTCGGCACACTGTGTGATCCCAGTCAGGGTCTAATTATGTCTCCATGAGACGCCTTCATGGGCAGTTTCAGCTGAGATGAGCTCAGAAGTCTTGTCACATAGGGTCCTTCCCCATGGTGCATCAGGAGGCAGGTCAATTCAGCCACTGCTGAAGAGGGAATTCACCCAAAAGGGGGATGTTAGATGAGGATATGCTGCAACATTTGGTTGCAGTTCCCACCTGGCTCTCTCTATGCAACAGCCTGCAAAGCCAGCTCTGAAAGTGTCATCGCCCTTTCTGGGTTTCCTGCTAAGCCGCCCGTGCTCCTCTCCACGGGGTTCCTGCGTCAGCGCAAGAACATTAGCACCATCTCCGGTGTTGTAGTCATGACCTTAGAGTAGCCCCACTGCAAACACACTTTTTTATTTTATTTTATGTTTGCTTGTTTGTTTGATTTACATCCTGCCTTTTTCCTACAAAGGGCTCAAGGCAGCTTACATCCTTCTCCTCCTCCATCTTATCCCCACAACGACACCCCTGTGAGGTAGGCTGGGCTGAGAGTCTGTGACTGGCCCAGAGTCACCCAGTTGGCTCCATGGCTGAGCGGGGACTCGAACCCGGATCGCCTGAGTCCCAGTCCCACACTCTTTTACACAGGGAAGCTGTAGAAAGGAAATCCATGAACAGGCAGGGATTGCATTTCTTAGGGCCTCAACAGGGTTTAGGGCTGGGGAGTCACATGTTCAATAACACACCCCCTCTCAGCGCCCTCCTTCGCAACCATTGGCAGAAGGATGGGGAGTAAATTTATTCTTGCTTTCGAGGGAATGTCTCCCGTTCAAACCACTCTGCAAAGCAACCTTAGTTATCCTGCAAAATTTGCACATTCCAAATTCTGCCATGGAATGTTGCAATCAAAACACCTGCATGAATATGTGTGATATAATATATATATATATATTGTGTGTGTGTGTGTGAGAGTGAGAGAGTGAGAGAGTGAGAGAGTGAGAGAGTGAGAGAGAGAGAGAGAGAGAGAAGAATAAAATGCATTTTATTTGGGAATCAACTTGAACAGATGTGTCTTGGAGGAAAATGGCACAGAAAATGCATGCATTGGGAGAAACGGGTGCAGAAATGTTTCATGCAGTGTTTTAAAAATAAATTCTCACTGTTCCAGACAAACTGAACTAGAAAGAGGGCAATTGCGGGGAGCCAAAACTGACCGAACTGCCCACCCCTCACTGTCAGCTGCCCCTGCCCATCGCGCCGCCCTCCCGGCCTCATCTCCCCAGAAAGCTCGGCTGCACTTACATGGGGGGGGGGGCGCCGGGCTCCGATCGCGTGCCTTGGATCTCACGGCCGTGCTCATCCACGCACCAGCAGTAGCCGCTGTTTCCGTGGCACTGCAGGGGGTTGAAATTGCCAAAAGCGTCGCACTGGGGCACATACTGGTCTCCGCGGGGGCTGCCCCCGTAATGCCCCAGGAGGCTCTCTCTCCACCGCTCGCACATGGTCTGGGGCCGCCGGGTGGGCTCTGAACGGCATTGAGAAACATAGAAACACAGCGAGTCAGAAGGGGCCTCCCGGGCCATCTAGTCTGACCCCCGGCTCCGGCCGGCTCCGCTCACGACAGGCCCGCCATGTGGACGTCCAGCACACAGGGCGTGAGACAGCCGGCCCCCGGCGGCTCTCCAGCAACCTCACGCTGCTGCCCTTTGGAGACGGGCACCCTTGTCCCCCACCAGGCGGTACGTGCGAGGCACTCACCCGGAGCCCCGCAGCGAGGCTGGACCGCGCTGGGCGGCACGCGGCTCCCAGGGACCTCCGCGCCCTCGCGGTCGACGCACCAGCACTCCCCGGTGCTGTGGCGGCACTGCAGCGGCCGGTAGTTGCCCTGCTCGTCGCACTCGGGGACGTGGGGGCCGCCGGGGAGGCCCGGCTGGCCCAGGTGCCGCCGCTCCTGCTCGCAGCGGGTCAAGACCGGCTCCCTCCCTGGCGGACGGAAGGGCGTCAGTGCAAGTGCTCGGGGACAGTCCTGGGCGGATGTCGGGGTGCTCACCGCAGGGGCCCCGTAAAAGGCTAGCTCGGAGCAGGCAGGGGGCCCACACCCGCCTCCCCCACCCCGGGACTGCAAGTCCCACCTTCCCCGGGGCCGAGCTGACTGTGGGTGATGGGGGCTCTGGTCCAGCACGTCCAAATGTCTCCGGCTTGCAGGGGGCTGCGCTGCACCGAGGCCGGCACTTGGGGAGAGGCTCTTCCCGGGGTCAAGCGGGCGCTGGCGGCAGGGCTCCCCGCTGAGCCCGGTGGCCGAGACGGGCAGGCTGCCCGCGCGGCCCAGCATGCACGCCCCTCTGCACCCAGGCCACAGCCCTCCCGGGGATTTCGGAAGCGGTGAGACCGTGGCGGACGACGACAGCGGCTTGTCTACTCGAGTGCCCCCGCCCCATCCTCCTGCAAGGAACCAAGGCTGACACGGCCCTCCTCCTCCTGACGCCAACCCTGCGAGGTAGGTGAGGCTGAGAGTCGGCAACTGGCCCGGAGTCGGTGAGCTTCACGCCTGAGACCGCCTGAGCCCCGGTCCGGCCCCCTGCCAGGCCAGGCCAGGCCGGCTCTGCTCATCTATTCTGAGTAGGACGTCTAATAGTAATGAGGAATTATAAAGCTTTGTAATTAGAAGGCTTGTTGTTGCTGTTAGTCGTGAAGTCATGTCCGACACACCGCGACCCCATGGACCACATTCCTCCAGGCCTTCCCGTCCTTCACCACCCCTGAATCCACCCAAGCCCACACCCACCGCCCCAGTGACCCCCTCCAGCCACCTCATCCTCTGCCGTCCCCTTCTCCTTTTGCCGTCTATTGCTCCCAGCATTTATAAGGCTTATCATTGGCTAAAACGCTAATAAGGCCACCAAAACCACAGCGAGGTGCGTGTCTGGGCAGGTTGGCCGTGCCTCGTGCCTGCCTTCCCAGGACGTGGCCCAGCCGTACCTGGAGAGCAGTGGAAACCGTCCCCTTCGTAGCCGGCCCGGCAGCGGCAGGAGAAGGAGCCGGGGGAGTTGACGCAGTCGGCGGCTCGGTGGCATCTTCCTTCCGCGCATTCGTCCACGTCTGCGAGGGAGCGAGACAAGGCCGAAAGCATCCGACTTATTATAATAATAATTATTATTATTTATTAAAAACTTCTGTATGCCATCCTTTATATAAATATCTCAGGACAGCTTACAGCAATTTAAAAGAACAATTGAAAAGCATCTAATAACACCCAATAACACATTAAGACAATAATACTGTGTAAAACAATAAACAGACATCAAACACATCAGATTAACTCAAAACAAAGCAAAAGGGGCTGCAAGAACCATTAAAACTATTAACGTTTAAAATACCACTTAAATAAAAAGGTTTTGACCTGGTGCCAAAAAGAATAGAAGCTCAGCGCCAGGCATACCTCTCTGAGGCGCACATTCCAGAGTCCTGCATCCCATTCATCCCCGAAGTTGCCCAAGATGCTTCCGGCAGCAGCATCCAAATGTGGTGCCACAAACCCGGCTTGCCATGTGGGGGTCCTATGGGAATGTCCCTCCCCAGCTCATCTCAAGGGGGATGAAAGCAGCCCCTGGTGTTCCCAGAGTGAGGGCAGAAAGTCAGATCAGAGTGAGGGCAATTTACCTTCACTCGGGAAACTCTTTGAGAAAAATGTGTCTGCGAGTTGACATGCCCGGAAGTGCTGCCACCAAGAGCTCTGCATGTGCCACTGGACTTACTGCCCTTGGCCCTTCATGCAAAGGAACAGTCAACATCGCCCCGTCCCCCCGCACAAAGCGCTCAGCCTGGGAATGGGGGGTGCGCGGTGCAATCCAGTGCACGCTTAGGCAGAAAAGCCCCATCATCCCCGTCTTGGCTGGGTGAGAGCCAGAACTGCAGGCCTTTTTTCTGCCTACACAAGCACAGAGCTGCCCCTGAATGGTGTTTCTTGCAGCTCAGGCGCAGAGAAATGTGACGTCTCAAAGCCTCAGGCCAGGTTGCATCCCGGCTGAGAGCTGTCGCTCCACATCAGAAGCTCTTGGCTTACTTTGTCGTCGTCATTTTTACTGAGTTTTAAATCATGGGTTTTCATTAAAAACAAGTCTATAGAAAACATTTCAGTTTTTTACATGTGTAAAAATCCACTTACAATGCATGTGCATTTATTTATTTATGAGTCACAGGAGCTGCAATATATTAATAACCTTGTATTTACTCACAGAAGTTCACCAGGGATTTAAGGTTCAGTGGGGATTCTCTACATGTCTCTTCCCGTGTCTGTGTTGGCTTCCTCTGCGAATGTGGCTTGTTAGTAAACTCCAGATTGCTACAGCCAGTTGCATAGAATGCTATGCATAGCCTGCACAATTCTGGGGCGCCTCACGCCCATCCCGAATTCACAGCGGGAAGACTGTTTGTCTGAAGGAAGCAACGGCAGCTTCTCCACACACACCCCAGACAAACGCCGAGACCTTCCTTCCGCCCCTTAAACCTTCCGAGCTGAGGCGCTAAGCCCCGCTGTGTCACAGCCAGGAACTTCCCCGGCTCAAAAGCGCTCAGACCAAAGGCACTTTCGGGGGAAACCGATCCGAGGCTCTGAACAACAAGGGAAGCGGCAAAGCCAGGGGGGCAAACCGTTCTGGCCGAGTGTTTTGGCCCTGAAACACGTCGGGAGCCGAGCTGCAACAACTTTGGGAGCTCAGATGCAAACTGGATCGAGGAAATCCAGTTGGAAGGCTTGACTGGTGGGCTTTCCACGGGTGGATCCACCTCCCTGAAAGGTGGCAAAAGGTCCACATTTGGACCCACCTTTCAAGGCATGTCGTGAGCAGAGCCGGCTGCTGCCGCAAGTCAGACTAGATGGCCCGGGAGACCCCTTCTGCCTCGCTCTGTTTCTATGTTTCTGTATGCTCGCTGCAGCTGGCGAGAGGGGACGGCAGCCATGTTTAAAGCGGGGGGGGGGGCACTTGCAGCCCCCACGTGTCAGCCTGCGACCCACATGAACCTTCAACACTGGCTATATCGACTGGGGCTGATGGGAGCTGTAGGCCCAAACAACTGGAGGGAGAGACATTGGACACCCCCGGCTCAAAGTACACGCCGTCCCAAGGAGACGGTTTGGGCAACGGACTTCCCCGCCACCAAGGGGGGAAAACCCTCGTCCATAACACCTCCTGCCCTAATCCACGTAGTTTTCCGGATGCCGCCAGCTCTGCTCGTTTTGCTGCAAAAGGCTCCACCACGACCCCTCTAGCCCAGGGGTGTCCAACCTTTTGGCTCCTCTGGGCCACATCAGGAGGAGGAAAACAGTCTTGGGCACACGTTAAGCACACGCGTGCCAGCGGACACCGACGAGCCAAAAAAAGCTGTGTGCAATTTTCGCGGCCTCTGCCACCACCGTGTGTGCACACGGCAAGAGCAAATGCGAATGTATTTCACGGCACCTCGTGGGGCGACGCTGCCATCCGCAGAGTTCACGCTCGAGAACCACGCCGTCGAGTCACCCCAAAATTGCAAAAGGAGCTGAGTGTTTGAAGTTTACAATTTTACGTCGGGCTGCATTTGTAGCCCTGCTGGACCGTGTGTGGCTCGCGGGCTGCAGGTTGGACACCCCTGCCCTAGAGAATCGGAACAGGGGGTGCGGCTGGGAACATGCCAGAGACTGGGGCAGGAGGGGTTCTGCCGTGCGCTGAGCGATCTGGGTGTCCACTCGGAATCGCCGTCCCATCAGGGCCCGTCCTCCCCTCAGGCAGGGAGAGCCGCCGGAGCTGGGCAGCAGAATGAGAAGGGCAGCGAACGGAGCTGCCCCGACCCCCCAGGAAGGGGGCCACAGCTGCCACTGCCCCGCCACCAGAGAGCTCCGCCAACCGCTCTTGCCCCGGGCCTTCGCCGCAGGCAGACAGCAGCCCTGGGGCAGCGGCAGGTCCTCCGTTTGCCTCGCCATTCGGAGAGCAGCACAGCCGGAGGCAGCGGCTACGGGAAGCTTGCAGAGCCGCAAGGTCCAGACAAGCCCCCCGCCCCGAGACCCACAGCCCCTGCCTCCGGCTGTGCAGCTCTCTGCACGGAGAGGGAAATGTGGGGACACGGCCAAGGGCAGGGGGCGCCGGATGGGGCAAAGGGGTGCCAGGCGGCAGTGTGCCCCTTTCCCACCTCAGGGGGCGCCTGTCCGGCCGCCTCCCAAGGGAGGGAGGGCACGGCTTCCCCCACACCGGAGCAGATTCCCGAGACCCTTCAAAAGAGAGCCCTTCCCAGCCCTTCCTGCCCTAACGCTCAGGGGCGCAACCCCAACGAGTCGGGGGACCAGTGCCGCTGCACCACCGCTTACCTGTGCAGTTGTGCCCGTTCCCGGCGTACCCGGCCAGGCAGACGCAGCTGAAGGAGCCGGCCCCGTGGTAGACGCAGCGCGCCCGGTCGGCCGCGGCGCACGTGTGGGTCCCTTGCGCGCACGGGTTGGGCGGGGGGGCAGCCACTGAAAAGCCAAAGGGGGAGCGAGTCAGTGGGGCTCGGCGTGACGCGGCTGCTCTTTCCCACGGGCAAAGCCGAGCTCCAGCAAGCGAGTCCTTTCGCAGACAAGGCCCACATTCCATTTCAGAGACCTCCTAATGGCAGTATTGCATAGTGGTCAGAGCAAAAAAGCCAATCAATTTTAGCCTCTTTTTTCTTCCCTCCTCCTTCTGCTACGATTCCTACTATACTACTGCATATATAAAGCCCTAAACGGCTTAGGGTCTGGTTACCCAAAGGAGCGTCTCCTTCCGTATGTGCCTGCCCACCCCTGAAAGAATCAGGGCAGACACCCTTCTCCAGGTGCCCTCCCTGAAGGAGAGCAGGAGGGCGACTGCCCTGGGAAGGGCCTTCTCTGAGGTGGCACCTGAATTGTGGATTTCGCTCCCTGGAGAGGTTCGCCTGGCGCCATCACTTTATTCTTTACGGCACCAGCCCAAAACCTTTCTATTTTCCCAATGCTTTAAGACCTGACTGTTTTAACTGGGGTTTTATTATTAGTTAAATTTTAGGATGCTGTGTTTTAAAAATTTTTACATTTTGTCTGGCTAAACTGTCCCAAGACTTCGGTAATGGGGCAGTCTAGAAAAGTTTTGATTGGTTAGTTCATTAATTACATGTACAACAGTGTATATATGCAATGTACTATTGCATATATACATAGACTATCGCATGTATGTTCCTTTTTTTTGCTTCTTGAGAGGAACCCAAGGCAGCTCACGCAGCTCCATTTTATCTTCACAACAACCCTGTGAGGTGGGGCAGGCTGAGAGTCCCAGACTGGCCCAGAATCACTCATGGAGCTTCATGGCCGAGTGGGGACTCGAACCCGGATCTCCCCGTTCCCCAGCCCAACACACTAACCACTTTATGACGCTGGTTCTCTCCAACTAAGTCCTGGAAGAGCCTTCCTGCTGTGCAGGCTACAGGATTCTTCTGAGAATTACGTAATATGATTCTACTGCTTTTTTTCCTGCAAGGGACCCAATCCTGCCAAGCAGCGTGTGACCGCCGCCTCTTGCGTTGCAGCAGTTGAAGGAGAAGAAAGTCACCCGGTGCGCATTCACGGACTTCTCCTCTTGCGAGGCCCGGCCAGGCGCAAGAGGGGTCTGCGAGTGCCAGCGGGACGCATTCCTCCGGAGTTCGCCCCGACCCTAGTCACCACGAGGCGAGAGGGGCGGATTCCAGCGAGCTACCGGGCCAAGAGTTCTGTGACTCCCAACCCTCCACCTGAGGGGCTGGAAAGTTTTGCAGCTTGCAAGACAGAAGGCAAAATGTTCGGGAACTCGTCCGCCCACGCAGCTGGCAAGAACTGGCCCTCCGACTGCCGCCCCGAGTGCTCAACCAGTGCGCTCGGGCGCAACTGAGAATTTACGGGTGGTGTAGGGACAGCCGTTTAGTATGGCTTCACGAGTGACCATCACCACCCTGACCTTTCCATGCGTAGTGTCGTGCATGAAGCTCCGACAGAAACAGTGACTCACGAGGAGACCTTACACTTGGCACCCAGTGCCCAAGCGTCGACCCCACAACCCAATGCAGGGACGGCTGAGCCAGCTGCTGCATCTTCCTGAGCCCCAGCAAGTTGAGCAAACGCCTGGGCCTTTATCAGAGACGGAGAGTCATGAAAAAGAGGAAGCTGCAAGTTCTACTCGGAAGGAGGCAGAGCAAACTGCCTCCCCCCCCCCCACTGATGCTGACCTCCCTGAGCCAGAAACAGAAGACACAATTGGTGTCATGGATTTTTCAAGAGCCCAGAAGAGACGTATTTTACACCGATTTGAACAGCTACAAAGCAGGCAAGAGGGAGGGAAGAAAGGCGTGACTTGGGAGAACGATCCCACGTGGGCTCAGGAAGAGCAGCCATTATAGGGCTAATATCTGCTTAGCAAGGACCGCTATTAGGGAACTCGTCTTGAATTGTAAATCTTGTAGGACTTCGGTTTTATTGCTCTAGAATGTGTGGAATGTTTACATACCAGGCTGCACCTCATGACAGGCAGGCACGGCGGAGGGCATCTGCGCCCACTGGTGGAATCCGGTTCAGACAAATTGGATCGCCCTTGCACAACTTTGTATTAATCAACGCAAAACAGCACACTGGCACATGCACACGCTGGCATGAATACCCCTTGCACCAAGGTGACCCACAAGGCCACAGAATCTGCACAAGTCGTATTCAAAGAGCGTGGAGTTTCTCCAGCGTTCCTAGGTGAGGCCGGCACCTGCGAAGCCTTCCCAGCAGCAGGCTGAAGCCCCGCCGAACCTTCCCGCGCATTTGGCGCCTCCCATCTGGTTAACCCACACACCGTCTGGCCAGCTCGGGGACCTGCTCACTGCGGACACAGGAGGACTCCGACTCTTTGATCAGAGGCGCAGCGAGGTGCGTGTCTGGGCAGGTTGGCCGTGCCTCGTGCCTACCTTCCCAGGACGTGGCCCAGCCGTACCTGGAGAGCAGCGGAAACCGTCCCCTTCGTAGCCGGCCCGGCAGCGGCAGGAGAAGGAGCCGGGGGAGTTGACGCAGTCGGCGGCTCGGTGGCATCTTCCTTCCGCGCATTCGTCCACGTCTGCGAGGGAGCGAGACAAGGCCGAAAGCATCTGACTTCTGTCAGACCCCGAAGCTGCCGAGGATGCTTCCGGGGGCAGCATCCAAATGTGGTGCCGCAAACTTGGCTGAAATGCGGGGGCTCTATGGGAATGCTCCCCCCGCCCCGTATCTCCTTTGCTTCCTCTCCGAGAGGGGTGAAAGCACCCCCGCACTGGCCCCACCAGCTGGGCTAAGCCTTCAGCTGCCCACGACTGGGGTGAACAGGGCAAAGTCCTGAGAGAGTTTAGCTGGAACGTCTTGCTGCAAGTAACAAGTCTGGAGAGAGCCTTTGCATCCTCTTAGGATGTGGGGGAAGGACGAAAAGACTGAGGGGCTGTCTGGCAGGGGAGAGGAGGAGGCGTGTTCCCCTGGGGATCCCAGAGGCCAGGGCTTCTGTGTCACTGCCCCGACCCACGGCCTGAGTTCAGACGTCCCAGTGACCTGCCTTGTCCGAGCTGAGCGTCGTGTGCACTTTGGGTGGACCAACCGTGGCTCCATCCCAGCTTGGACGGGGATTTGGCTGCAACTGCCACACACCAGGTCCGGTTCAGCTGCAGCCGTTTGGGCAGAAACTGTCTTTGGCGGGGCTGCCTCCATGGACACTGTTCCCAAGCGGCCAAAAAGCAGACCCCCGGAAGCGTTGCTCTCCGACTCCCCCCGGGCCATGGGGCATGGGATTATTCTGATAATCATAACACCCAATATTGCTGTATCAGCCTCCTGGTTTTTTCCCTGCAGGGAATGCAGCTGGCTTACCTATGCCGCTTCCCCATTTTAGCCTCGCAACAACAACCCTGTGAGGTAGGCAAGGCTGGGAATCCGTGGCTGGCTTGAAGACACCGAGAGAGCTTCGTGGCTGAGCAGGGACGAGAACCCGGGTCTCTCGGGCAAATATACTCCCAACCGGCCTGCTTACTGAGAGTTACAGTTCGGCGAGGGGCAGAGTTGGCCATGCGGGGGCCCTCGCCAAGGCAGAGAAGCCGCCCCGAGGCTTTTGTGAATGGGGCGGCATATAAGTGCTCCAAATTAGAACTAGAATTAGAAATCGGAAGGCGAAGAGGGTGCGGGCCGGTGCGTGACGCGTTTGCCCTGACGAAACACGGTGCCATCGAGGAGAGTAGAAGAAAAGGATGGTTAAGAATGACGACAGAAGGGTTTATTTTTTGTGGGGGGGTAGTAGTTACGGAGGGGAAGGGTACGTTACTGGTTTTTCGGCGCCAGGTAAAGACCTTTTTATTTAAACATCATTTCAATTGTTAAAACATATGATCTGGCCTGGGCAACTTCTTCTTCCTTCTCTTTCTCCTCCTATATTTTTATTTTATACTGATAATTTTAATTTTGTATTTGTAAATCAATGTATTTTTTGTATTGTTATATTTAATGGTAATTTATTATGTACTATTGTATTTCAATGTATTTTATCATGTTGTAAGCCGCCCCGAGGTTTCGGCAAGGGGCGGCATAGAAATGCTATAATAATAATAATAATAATAATAATAATAATAATAATAATAATAATAATAAAGGAGCGAAGGAGGTTCTTAGAGGTTGAGAAGAAGTAGGAGAGGAATATCAGGGAAACAAAGTCGTGAAATAAGTCGAAAGACAAGCAGAAGGAGGTCGATTTGTGAGAGAAAAAGGAGCATAAGCGTTGGCTGAGGCACAGCGGATGGTGGTCGGGAGGGGGCTGGCGGGGGGGTGCAGAGTTCCCGCCTAACTGCTAAAGCTATGACATCTTCCCGACAGCAGGCACTGCACAGGCGCAGCGCCCATGGATGTGTGATGCACAGAGGCCACGCCGAGGAAACGGGAGGTACGGACTACGGATGCAGGAGCCCAGGTTCCAGCCCCCGCCAGCCGCGAAGCTCACTGGTGACTTGGGCCTGCCACCGACCCTCCGTCCAGCCTACCTCACAGGATTTTTGCTGCAAGGATGAAAAACAGAGCTACGGAAGCTGTCTTGAGTTCTGCGCAAGAGAAGGAAAAGCGGGATATAAATCCAACGCCACAGTACTAACAGTAGCAGCGATTCTGCAGCTGCGCCAAAGCACAGGAAACTGGCTCTCCACACCAAGCTTGGCAGTCCTTTTATTATGTCCAAAGCATTGTTCCCAGCCAGTAAGGCCATGAAACCCGGGAACAGAACCTGACACAATCCCAGAGATGAAGTGGCAAGCCAAGCTTTTGCAACTGCCTGTTGATATTCTCTACCCGCACCCCACCAATGCAATAGTAATTCTTTGTTCTCTCCAATTTCTGCAGCCACAGAGAGTTAATTAATAACATGCCGGAAAAGCCCCAAGGCCAAATGCTGAGGGAACCAGTAGATTTCCTACAGATATCAGCCACATCTGGAAAAAAGAGAAGTGCTGGAGATTACAGGATTTGTGACGCTCGCTAAGACTGATTCCAGGTCTTTTCTTTCTTCGTTTTTTAAGCTTTACATGGAGACTCAGAAACAAGGCCTCTCCCTCTGCCAGACACAGGAATCCCAAGAAACCCAGCTTCCTGAGAATCACAGCTCTCTCTTGGGGGGAAAAACCAGAGCAAGATTTCTTAATCCTTAGGATATCTTGGAACAGCCGTGGGTGGAACTAGATAAAATTTCCAGCTGTTTAAGGCACAGCTTCAGTGCCCTGAACAACTGACTAACAGAAATTGTTAGTCAAATAGATTAAAACAGCAGAATATTGCAGTATCGGACAAATTATGCAGAACCTGTTCAATGTGCATAATATGTGAGGAGACAGAATCAAGCTTTTCTTTACACCAAGATGCCAGCATTGAGAGAAGTGTCTCTAAATGCACTGAATCATTTCAAAATCCAAGGGAAGGGGAATGTATTTTTGCCTGTTCCCCTCTTGTAGAAAACTAGAACTTATCCCTTAGAATGCTAGCTTTCTATGTGCAGGGACTCATTTGACTACTACCTAAAGTTGTTGGACTCTTAAAGAGCAGTCATGTGGCAGAAGGGCAGAGTTCAGGGAACCACACTGCCAGGGGCCCTCAACAGGGACTAGCCTCTTACCTATACAAGTAGCCCGGTCAGCTGCAAGCTGGTATCCGCTGGGGCACTCGCATCTGTAACTGCCCTGTGTGTTGACGCACACCGACTCCTGGCTGCATCTACTGAGGCCTTCGGCACATTCGTTGATATCTGGAGCAGAGACGGAAAGGACGGTTCATGGGGTAAGGAAGTGCTCAGCACCTCTCCAGGCTCGGAGCGGGAGGCTGCGTCGCATTCTTATTCCAGCGCTCCAGCGCATGCAGACTCATCGGGTTTGCATGACTCCCCAGCCCCTCTCTCAGCCCTTGCAGCTATGAAAACACCACCAGCGTCAAGCGATTCCAGATGTTCGCAAGGGGGAGGGGGGCTCCAAGCCTCGACTTCTTAAATGTGCTGAAAGTTCATCTGTGACTCACCCGGGCTGCAGGGGCAGGTATTTCCCTCTGCCCTCCCCCCCCCCCCCAAATCTTTGAAAAGCACACTATTCTGGACCCAAACATGCCCCTGGGATGTTTTCCCCCCCCCCCCCCCACGTCCCGCCCTGGGGTGTGCGTGCGTGCGTGCGCGTGTGTGTGAGGACTAAGAAGTCAGCTGTCCCCTGGAATCTCCAGTCAGCCACTGAATGAGCCCCGATCATGCCAGGGAATGTTCACAAGCACTCCAACTACTGAGGGGAGTGGTGCAGAGAGCAGATAAATCAGGAGGAGGTTAGCCATCAGCACAGCTGCTGGGAAAGGCAGCGAGAGTCAGCTTGGCCTGGGGAGAAACCTCCTGAAGGCTTTGCAGCACGGTCCGTGCGCAGCCGCACATGTGCAGGCTCACGCGGTGGAATGTAACTAGACACACCGCAAGTCGCTCTGAGAGTGCGCTTTGCACAAGAGGCTTCAAGGGCCCCCAGCTTCAAGCTCCTCCTCAGCACGAGCAGATCCTTCCTCTACATGAATTCAGTCTTAGGCTTGGGCGTAGGATCAGCTATTCAAGGATGAACAGTGCATTAAAGCAATATTAGTGGGGCAGAGATATGCAACCTTGGCACTTGTCCAGCTTTCTCCCCCACCTCCTTTGGCCTGTCTAAAGAAACAGCTTGGTTGCTACAAAAACCCTTAGCTTTTAAACCTGCAGTTTTCTTGTTAGGCATTATACCAGAAGAAATGAGCAAACAAGAAATGTATTTGATGTTACATGTGATCACAGTGGCGAGGATTGCATTTGCTCAATACTGGAAAAGTGAGGAACTACCCACCGACGAACTGATCCTAAAAAAGATCTTGGACTGCGCAGAAATGGACAGATTGACTCTATCATTGAAGGAGAAAGAGGATACTGACTTCTGTCAAACTTGGGACCTTTTTTATGATCGGCTGGAGAAACGGGACTTGGCTTAGATTTGAAGATGTTTTTAAGTTGTTATAAATCGATTTGAATATGACGATAGAATGTTAAAAGATATGTAGTAGGGGGCTGACCCAGTACGTCCGATGTATTTGATGATTAATGTTTTTAGTATTAGTTTAAAATTTTAATAAAAAATCTTTAAAAAAATAAAGAAACAGCTTTGTTAGACGGACAAAAAGGGCCATTCTGCAGGGCACGAGAGCAGCTTCCAAGTTTGGGAGTTTGCAGATAGGAAGGGGGCAACCCGTGGAATCCCGCCCTAACCCACAGGAATTCTCAGCAGTGCAAACCAGATGGCTTTGGCTGTGGCGCAGTATTGAAATGAAATAGATCGCAAATAGCAATAATCATCCATTCACACACCCTCCGCCTGGACCCTCTGAGGAACCGAGCAAATGAGCCAGCTTCTTCCAAGGTACGGCTTCTCTTCCTGGTTGCCTGGAAGCAGTTCTTAGCTTGCCGTAAGCAACCAGGTGAAGCAACGCCAGCAGGGGATTCCTTTCCGCGCAGGAGGCTCAGCGTCCCCGGGAGAGCCCCCGCCGAACGGTCAGACTCAAGAGGAAGCGGCTTCCTAGCCCAGACCTGGCGAGCTGCAGCAAGGGCCGGCTCTGCTCCTAAGGCGAGCGGACATCCTGCTCCGCACGGGCATGACGGTGCGTACGCGAGAGGCACAGAGGCCGCGAGGGAGGAGGAGCTGGGCCAGCCCCGCCACTCACCCACGCACTCCCTGCCGTCCCCCCGGTAGCCAGAGGTGCACTCGCAGGTGAAATCCAGTCCGGCGCCCGGCTGGCAGCGTGCCGTCGTGTCGCAGGTGTGGCTGCCGTCGTAGCAAGGGTTCAGCGGGACGGAGCCAGAATCGTCTGAGCAAAGAAGGAAGGCAAAAAGTTAGACAGGCGGATGCTGAGCACCCCTGGGGGTGCAGGTCCCACCTGCCCTCGTTTGTGGGGTGCAAGGGCCCTCGCGGGAACAGAGGCAGCCCGGAAACGCAGCCGGTCACAAGCTCGGCACGTCAGTGAGCGTGAGACCCGGCGGAGAGGAGTGTTCAAATGCAAGCTCTCGCTTTAACTGTTCACCATCAAAAACAGCTCAGAAGTGCTGGGGATTCTGTTGACCCAGATCAAGGCGCAAGTTCTAGCCATGTTCTCCTCCGCCAGGAGCGATTCTCTGTGACGCTGAAGGCCGCTCGAGGACCGACCCGCCTAAAATACTTTGCGTCACGACAGGAAACTTCCCACAGAAGTAGTTGCCTCCCGTTGCGTCGCGGCCTGGAGCCGAAATGGGTTGAACTGGCATTGCTACCACTTGATGTGGACAAGATACGCAGGAGGGCGGAGGTGCAAATTATTTTCATGGTGCCACAAGAGTTAAATCCGCAAGAACAAGCTGGCACTTTTGGGTGCACCCTTGGCAGCAACCGGGGAGGGGGGGAGTGTCTCCACAAACAATTCTGGTCTGGGCTTTGCCTGGGGCAGGGGTCAGCAACCCACGGCACGCAATTTATTGAGCTTTTCGACCCCTGGTAGGCCAGCCATGGATAAATCCAAGAAAAGAAAAGTTGCAGAAGAAAACAGAACGTTTAATGGTACGTGGGCAGATTCATTTGCTTTCACTGCTGATGAGGCTGGTTTACCAGTATGCTTAATACGTGGCAAGAAATTGGCAAACAACAAAAAGTCGAATGTTGCAAGACATTTCCAGAATAAACACACAGCCTTTGCTGAAAAATATCCAGATGGAGATGAGAAAAAAAAAGCCATTTTGGAACTGATGCGGAAGGTTGATCTGATCAAAAATCATTTCAAAAAGTGGATTACGTCTGCAAATTCAACTACATACGCTAGTTTTGTGGCCGCTCAGGAAATAGTCAGGCATGGGAAGCCGTTCACAGATGGAGATTATATAAAAGAAACATTCATTGATTTCATAAATGCTATAAATGATCTCACTATAGTTTTTTTATACATAGCATAAAGGTAAAAAACGATATATGCAGTGCGATCTTCATTTTCGATGCCAAAGGGGTTTTGTGGCTGCCGGTGTTTTCTTTTCTGTGGGAAACGGGTCCAAATGGCTCGCTGAGTGTTTGAGGTTGCTGAGCCCCGGCCTGGGCCATTCCCAGAAGTCCAGCTCCCGTTTTGGAATGACTCCAGTTGCGCTTTGCCTCTTAGGGCCCTTGTCCTACTGGATGGTGACCCTCGGCCCCAATTCAGCCCCAGTCCCAGATTCTTTGCAGGCCAAAACAGGTTTCCCTTTGGCACCATCCACCCCGCACTCACACCATCTCTGCTTCCCAGTCCCTGCCAGTGCAATCCAGTTCAGTTCCAGCTGGTAGCAAAACCAGAGTGTGGAAAGGTCGAAAGGGGGTGGACACTTCCGTGAAGTGCTGAAAATTCATCCCCCCACCCTCTGCACCCCAGAGGGAATTCAAGGGGGGACATTATGCCAGTTCCAGATCCATGTGAGGCCCGGTGCCCCAGCATCCCTCTCGCAGCTGGACTGTTGGACTGGGACACCGAAAAGGGGATTTGAGTGGCTTGTTGCTGCCCTTTCTCTGATCTCTTCCTTTGAAATGTGACCAAAACTGTTTAGATGAAGTCACAGAGTGCTGGGAAAACCCAGTGGGCAGAATTTCAGGTTGCGTGTGCCGTTCCGATCCCATTTACCGGACGTTTCCGGCGGCCACGGCACATGGCTGGGGAACATCTTCCAGCCTAAGGTTTGAAATCAACTTCAGGGAGGATTTTGTGGGGGAGGCACATTCTGGGGGGGGGGGGGGGCTGGAAGAAAAATGGGCAGGGAGCCAAAGGCAACACACCAGCCTCTTGCCGCCGGGAGCCCCCATGGCCAGAAGCAGGCCGCTGGAGAGGCAGTTCAGCGCTTTTGGGTGGGCGAAACGCCACCCCAAAACCAGGAACCCCTGACGAACCCCAAGGCAGGGCTTGGAGGGGTCAGGAACATTATCCAGGATTTCTACCCTTTCTCCCAGAGACTTTGCAAGTCGTTCTCCTCCCGTCCGCTCCGGCCAAGCCAATCAACCACCCTCCATATACGCTCTCGGGGCCCTGCAGCTTTGCAAACAGACGTGTGAGTTAAACAACTTGGACTCCTAACCCCGAGATCTGGAACGTGTTTATGCACTTTGGAGGAGGGGGTGGGCCGGGCTGACGAACTGCAACTGTTGTTGTTGGAGACGGCATAAGAAGACCACCCGGCTCTGCGGGAGAGGCTTCCTCGCTCTCGACCCCCACCCATGGGAGGCTCCGTTGCTATCGCGGAGGAGGGGGGAGTTCAGCAAACCCCCTTAATTGCTCTACCTCAGAGTCATTTTTATGCATCTTTTTGCAGTCCGGGGCGGGGGTGAAGAAGTCAACAATTTACGGTCAACAAAAGCACCCATCTTATGATTTCAAACCGTCCAGGAAAGGTCAGCCCCACTGTATTCTGTAACAGGATGCTGCTAGAAAGGTAGTCTGGAGGATGGGTGCATGGGCGAGCAATGGCGCATGACATGCTCAAGGAAGGTGCGTCAGCCCCAGAGAATCCCGATCGTCACAAGACAGACGGTTCTTTCTCTTTCCTAAAATGCAGGAATTTCTCCTCCGGGTGGAAAAAGTGACTCACTCTCTGCGTCCTCCCCTAACGAGCTCAAGAAAGTCCCCAGCAAAACTATGTGGCAGAGCCCTTCCTGAAGTGACTGTGCCACTTCAAAAGCATTCCCTGCATGTAGAAAGCCAATGCACCAGGGAAGAGGCATTCCGCTAGCTTGCTAGTATTCCACAGGCAGGAACGTTTAACGTTTCACGTGACTTTGCAGACTGGCTAGATGAGCCCCAGGGCACGATCTCACGACAGGGTTTCGAAGCCGTGCTGGTCCACAGGACTCACCTCCCAGCGGCCCGATCTGGTTGGTGACGGCGTAGCGAAGCACCCGCTCCTCCTCGTTATACAGAGCGAAGATCCTCTCCACCATCAGCTGCTGGGCAGGAGGCACCAGCTGCCGGCGGCCTGCATGCGGGCACCCGTCGTAGGTGATATTCTGGCGCAGCCGGTAGGAGAAGGTCTGGTTGGTGCTCCCCAGGATGAGGGAATATTGCCGATGAGACGTGGACGTCACCACTGGGGAAGCGGGCAAAAGGGCGTCAGGCTCCTTCCCCAACCTGGAGCCCTCCAGAGGCATCTGACTCCAGGTCCCATCACCCCCAGCACTAAAGAACGAGGCAATGTGAGCATGGCGGGGCCGCTGGACACAAAGGACCTGACATTCCTCATTTCCCTGCTGCTCCGACAACCTTTGAGAAACAGCCAATGTGCCTCTTGCATCAGCTATAAATACAGGGAAATAAGGGCGGGGGCCGAGGTTGGGGGCATTTCTGGCCTTAAAGCCATTTACAGTCTCATAGTTGGGGATCCAAGCAATCTTCTAGCCCTCTAGGCACTGTCCAGAGGCCTCGGGATCTGTCTGTCTGCTACTGTTTTAGCAATCAGACACTGTTATCCACCGTAAAGGAAAAGGTTCATTACCTGTGCTGTGACAGAACGTTCACCAATATTCCAACTGCTCAGTTTAAAAGCACGGATATTCACCGAACTGATTCGAACTTCCCAATTAATATGCTGGCTATGAGACCTTTACCTTAAACTATATTTTGGCTTCACACTGTGGGTTTTCTTGTTGAGAAATTTTGGGGTGTGAAATCCATAGTTTCATGGCTAACAGGTCATAGGTCAAGTATGTCATGGGAGTACAGTATTTGATAGCACATGTTTTAAAAATACAGCTTCCACTGGACAAACAAGAACAAGGGAAATAAGCCAAGAAAAACAGCCATACCTGAATCTGAGTAGTGGTAAATTTCTTTGTAAGGTGCAATGTAGACTGTAACATTCTCGGGGATGTAGGGCACCTGTCCTTGAATTTCTGTCCTAACACTGAGGTAATCTTCCACATCCAGTCCATCAACTGTTTGTTTGACAAAAGCTTTTTCCTCCCCAGGATAGAAAGTGACCTCCATATTGTGAGTGAATTTCGCACCTATTTGGAAAAGATGTGAGCTGTACAAAGCATTCATAAGAACTGGGCCACCCCAAGAGTCCCGACCTCCATTCCACCTGAAGGCTGCAGGTGCGAGAGCCACCACCCTGCTTGAGACCAGCCCACCAAACAAATCTACAGGTACATTCAAATCCACTTCCTTTTCTCTCCCCCAAGAACGATGCCCAGTTTTGGACTCCATGCTTGAAGAAGGGTGCAGGTAAGCTGGAAGGGTCGCAGAGGGATCCTTAGGAACTAAGTCCTAGGAGAAATTCGGAAGGGACCGGCTATGTTTAGCCTTGAGAAAGGCAACTGAGAGGGGGCATGGTAATTTTTGATGGTGTCTCTCCAAGTGTGCCGTTTTATTTTCCCAATATTTTAACAGTTAATTGGTTTTACCTTGGATTATATCATTATTTATCGGATGCAGCGTGTTGTGTGTTGTATATGGTTGCTTTGATTTTTGGTTTTTGTAAGCCGTCCAGAGACTTTAGTATTGGAAGGCATATAAAAATTTTAAATCAATAAATAAGGTTGTCCCACAGAAGAGGGCTGCGGCCTGTTCCCTCTCACCCTAAACTATAGGATCCAGTGATGGGCTTCAGTGACAGGAAAGCAGATTCTGGTTGAGCTTCTGAACAGATGATCCAGCCACCTATCCAGGGAGGTTGGAGGGCCCCCGTCCCTGCAGACAGCTCAGCCAGGGCCTTCTGTCTGGGAGGTTATAAACGGAATTCCTGCACTGGGCAGGGAGTCCAGGAGTCCAGGAGCAACAGGCCTCCTTCGAACCCGGAGCCAAAGTCTGCACGGCAGCAGATGTTGCTTTTGGAACCGGAGGTGTGCAGAGTTCTGCAATTAACTCCACAGGAGAAAAACTCTGCTCCATGTTTCATTTGCAGGGCTGTGGGAGAAAAGGATTAGTGGAAGTGCAATGCCAGGCATGCTGGCTGGGGAATGCTGGGAGCTGTGGGCCTTCTTCTGCCTACACATGCACAGGATCGCACCCTTCGTCTTCTTTTAGACCTACTCTAATCCATCTCCCAGACTGCTCCAATCAACATGCTCCTGACTGCTGCCTCTCAGAGAGGCTCCATTGGCAGCAACGAGGGGCAGAGTCTTTTCAGTGGCGGCCCCCCAGTTCTGGAACAAGCTTCTCACTGACTCCCCTCCATCAGGCAACAACCATGCTATCTTTTCAGCACCAAGCAAAGCCTCCCTTTGTTAGTGGCTTAATCAGATTTTATCTTGTTTATGTTATTGGAATCCTCTGCGTGTTTTAAGTGTGGTTGGAAATAATTTGCAAGACAACTTTTTTCTTTTTCCTCCAATGTTGTTTATAATGTGGTGCTTTTTAGACTGCATTTTAATGCACTGTGTTTATAATGTGGTGTATTTTAGATTGTGCTTTAGTGGATTGTTGTAAATGCTCCAGAGAGCTTCAGCTAATGGGCAGTATATGAGTCAAATAAATGAAGAAATAAAGGGGAAGTCAGTCTTGGGTCATTTAAGCCCCGTTGATTTCAATGGGACGAACACTGTCTGGACCCCAAGACTTTTTGCTTTGGCCCAACGAAGAGAAAAGCCACAACTTTTAGCATCCCAAATCCAACTTCTTGAAACGTTCTGCTTTCATTTAAACCGCCCCAACATGCTCGCTCTGAGGGCCAGGGAAAAAGTTGCGCAAGTGAAATCGTGCAGAGAATTCATGCACAAGAGCATTCATGTGCAATGAATTCTCCCAGCCAGAAGGGGGTTTGCGAGAAGGGGGTCCCCACACCAGCCAAGGCCTTCCACTCACCAGTAATGCTGAAGCCGTTTTCGTAGCCTGGCTTCTCCAGGGCAAAGAGCCAGCCGAAGAAGCCCCCGATCGGCGCCAAGGGCATCAGCGACTGGGCGGCCGGCTGAGGGATGTGACTGATGGCCGTGTAGGCGCGCCCGTCGTTGCTGACGATGTAGGCGTGGAGGTCGACCTGGCCGAAGTGCACGGGCGTCTGCCCCACCAGCAGGCTGCCGCTCACTTTCCCGTTGAGTCGATGCGCGGCCCCTGCGGAGACCAGGCGGCCTTTGAGCGGAGGGCCGGCCCTCCCCGGCACCCCCCCCCCCCAGCGAACCAGCCCTGACCTGACCGGGGGAACTTGGAGAAAAGTTGGTAGTGCGGCCCAGGAGAATTTCAAAAAGGCCGGCCCCTAGCAAGGCAAAAAGCTTAGGGGGCAGGCAGGCAGGCAGGCCTTCCCTGGACGTCCGAGTCGGCCAGGACCCTGGCGAGCATCGGAGGGAGGCCTGAAGGACCAACTCAGGAAAGTCGCAACCTTAACCTGGCCCAGCAGCTCTCCGTGTCTGCGCAGCTCGTTTAGCCTGGGAACGATTTCTTTTCCAGAGAAGGTTTTTTTTGGGGTGGGGGTACCACAAAAGCAAAGGGCCTGGACGTGTCACCTTAACGGCCGTCCTGCCTGTAACCAGGCATCGGAAGAGAGCCTGCCAGCCTCTGCGTGCGGCAAAGATGGCGCCCAAGTCAGGAGAGCACCAAGCGTCAGGCGACGGATGGAAAGGGGCAGGCCCAGGAGAAGGGGGGAGGTCTGGAGAAGCCCGGGGGCTACCCGGGACTGCATGCACCTCATGGGCCTCAGGTTCCCCACGCCTGCTCTAGAGGGGTAAGAGACTGCTCCCGGGTCGTGGGGGGAACCTCCGGTCAGATCCACCCCACACCCTCCAACCCCAAACCCTCCCGGCCGCAGCGGGGATTGAGCCGAGCGATGCCTGGGAAGTGCAGCGCCCTCGGTTGCGATGCTACCTTCAGGTAAGCAGTGCTTGCCATTCCCATAGAACTTGTTCTGGCAGTGGCAGCAGAAGCCAGTGCTATAATCTGTGCAGAAGCCATGCTGGGAGCACTGGGTGTGATGCTCCTCGCAGGTGTCCACGCTGGCCGTGCTGTACGTGAACCCTAAAGGAAAAGAGGACGTCGTTCCGTCAGGGAAGTTGGCAACCACCACAGCAGCCTTCACCAGGGGCCGCGGCATCCCCAGCGGCCCATCCTGCAGGTGGTACAGTAAGAGAGGGAAGTGGGGCCCTTCCACCCCAATTTAATGTTTTCCTCTGCCCTCCTCATCGCCTTTTCCTTGTGTGTCACCTCTTTTTAGATTGTAAGCCCATGAACAGGAGCCATCCTGTTTTACCAACTGCATGTAACAACAGTGTCAAATGAGTCACGCAGAAAATGACAGGGCTTAACAATCTGCAATAAATAAATCCAAGGGCTCATTAACACTCTATCACACGCTGCCAACTCCCTTGGAGCAGAGGCAAGTCTTGGCCTAGTGCCAAAAAGACAGCAGTGCTGGCACCAGGCAGGCCTCCTGGGAAGAGCGCTGAATGAGCACAAAGAGCGAGACTTGGAGGAAGATTTCTCATGAGTGCCACACACGGCCAGTTCACACCAGGAGATAAAATAAATATATTTTGCATTTCAAATTCTTATTATTGCCCTTTCTCTCGTGCCCAACCTGAGATCCTCTCTGGAGCCTCCCCTAGGAGGCAAAATGCTATCTAGGGTTCGATGGGGAACTTCCTCCCCATCCAGGAGGAATAAATAAGTTCTTACTGACTTGCAACACACGCAGACATTTGTTTCCAAAGTGAGACAAGGAGTTAGATAAATTTGCCTTTGGCTGATCCACCGCAACTCATGTTCTTGAGGGCTAGCCAACTGCAGAGGCTGTCCTTTGCATCCGAAAGCAAAGCCAAAACATGCTTTCTTGTCATTTACAGCCAATCTGACCTTTGCCAAAGCCAGAGTCCTTTCTCCCGGCTCCCCAGAGCAGCTCCCAAACCAGGCCCTGAGTCGGTGCAGCTTTTCCAGGTCACCGAAACACTTCCCGGGGCAGGTGCACACGATCTCCTTTAAGGGGAAAGCACTCTGGCTGTGAAGTGACTTTGTACTAAAAAGGCCATTCCAGAGCCCAAAACAAGAAGAAAATAGCAACAAGCAGAAGCAATGAGATGGGATAAGAATGAACTACACGTGGCTCTTTGAATGTCACGGCCTACAACTCCCCTCAGCCCTCACCCGGGTAAGCCGGCTGGGCTCAAGAGGAGTTTTGGGGCACCCCGGTATAAGCCCCTGTCCCCCAGTTTGTGTTTTTGTAGCATTTGCACAACACTCCACATCCACACGGATTCCAGAGTGGTGAACAACCGAAAGGCAAAACAGATAAAAAGAATGACAAACAAGAGGAAACGCAGGAGGCCAGAATAGCGGTGCCGGCAGTGGCCGGCCAACCGAAGACAGCTGCCTGACATACGGATGCGAGGCATCCCAGGCGGAAAAGGGGCTCCCCCTCCAGGCCTGCCGCACTGCAGTTCCCATCGCTCCCCGCCTTCCTGGCCAGCCCGACGCCCCTGGAGGAGCTTCATCCTTCAACGAAACCACCGTTCCTGCGTGGGCAACGCTGGACCCTCCAGCTGAAAGCACAGCTGCGGCTGAACTGGAACGAACGCGAGGGAACCCTCCCTGGTGCTCCCGTGCAGGATGCTGGTCCGTTGCCAAGCGCACTCGCAGTGCCAGCCGCTGCCCTCGGGCGCACCCGGCAGCTCACAGGAAGCCCGGTGGGGGCCCCCCCTGCTCCCTCCATCGTCGGGAGCCGCCTACGGGTCCCTCCGAGATGGCATCCCCGGCATTCCAGCATTTTTTATAGCTGCACTTAGGGCCATTGGCTCGGCACAATCTGGCGGATGACTTTGTAAAAATGTTTCTGTGAAGCTGACAGTTTTCCGTGCTTTCATGGAATTTTATTGGACGAGCTGCTTTGGAACGGGGGTGCTCAACTGTAGGCCTGCGAGCCACACCCTGCCGAAGTGGGGCTCCCGTCTGGCCCCCCGTGCTTCCCCGGCGGTCAGGCCTCTTTTGCATGCCAGACGTTGGCAGGCCCCCCGTTTGGCCTGCAGGGCTGCACACCCCCCTGTCCCCACGCCCCTGTGCGGAGCGTGCTTTCAGACTCGGGCACACGGTAAAAACCAAAACGGCTTATCGGGCTCTTTGTGCAGCTCCTATCTGGGCCTCCCCCATATTCTGCCTCGACCTGGGAGCAGGAGGCTGCACCTGCACGCACCGGCACAGGACAGGCACGAGCGTTCCAGAACCCTGCGCGGACGGACAGCACCACAGGTGTCCGAGGGGTGGGCAGTGACGGCAGCCGGGCCCCACGACGCCCGCTCTGCCACAGCAGCGTGGTCGATCTGCGCTTCCGCCAGAGCACTTCCAAGCCCAGTCTGAGGTGCTGATCATTCAAGCGCTCAGCGGTTTGGACCCGGGTTTTTGGCAGGACGGCCTCCTCCGTTAGCGCAGAAAAAAGCTCTCCTTGGACGCGGACGCTGGGCCTGCGTGCATGCATGTTTGCCTGGCGCTGCAGCACCGCAGGACCTCCCACTTCCCGGACAGGTTCCCTCTACGCAACCTCCTCGTGAGGCTCACTCGCCTCGCCGCTGATCACGAAGCAGACGGAGCCCCGGAGTCTCCTCCCAGAGGTAGAGCTCCAGCGGGAGCGAGCCGGCCGCGGAAGGTGCCCCAGATCGTCCACGGGGCGCTGTTCGGAGGCGGCCGGCACGTGCCTCGAAGCCCGCAGACGGCTCCCGACTGCACGGCTGCTGCAACAGGGGAGCTTCAGTGGCCAAGCCGCTCATGACCAAACTTGGTGGCACGGCTGGTTTTAGTGGCTCGGCAGCCTCCTGCCAGCGAGGGCTCTCCAGACGGGGTGGACTGCGATGCTCAGCATGCTGACCGGGGTACTGGGCCTTGCAGCCCAACACCCCCGAAGGGCAGCAGACGGCTGAGTTAAGGCGTCTCCGTCTCCAGGGGCTGAGACTCACAAGGCCCCGGCAGGCAAGCTGTGCTTCTGCCTGGATGGGTGTGCAGGCGTGTCCCCCCGGCCCTCCCCCTCGCCTCCCCCCCAGCCGAGTCCCCTCCCGTGCCCTCGCAGCACACAAGCCACCGACGCAACAGCAACAACAGCAGCTGCTGCGGATCGAGTTTCACGTTCCAGGAAAGGCAGTGAGCGGCCAAGCCGCCTCCCCCCCGACACCCAGCTTCTCGGGGGGCCCCTCGCAGCCGTTCACAAGAGCCCACCACGTTCCTGGCAAGCGCAGCGGAGGACGGCCGAGGCGGCCAGCTGCGAGGTCTCCCGGAGGCCGGCAAGCCCCCGGGTTGACCACCGGCCTCCTCTTGCACCGAGCCCGAGGTGCGCATGCGCAGAGCCCGCTCCCCTCTCCCCCACCCCGCTCCCCACTCTGGTACAGGACCAGAGGAGAGACTCGAACGCACAACGCACTGGGACAATTTCCTTCCAAATTTCAGGGGTAGAAAGAAACAGAAACAGAGCAAGTTGGAAGGGGTCTCCTGGGCCATCTAGTCTGACCCCTGGCTCCAGCCGGCTCCGCTCATGACATGCCCACCATGTGCATGTCCAGCCTATCTTTGAACACCCGCACCGATGGGACCTCAACGACCTCCTGTGGAAGCCCATTCCACCCCCTCGGGGTCCCGACTGTCAGGAAGTGCTTCCTGGCATCCAAACTGAACCTGGGTTCCCTGAGCTTTGCTCCGTTGGAGCACGTCCTGCCTTCCTCTGCAGGGGAGAACAGGTCTCTCCCCACCTCCGTGTGACATCCCCTCATGTACCTGCATGTCACCAACAGATCCCCTCGGAGTCTCCTCTTCTCCAGGCTAAAGAGACCCAGTTCCCTCTGTCTCGCCTCATACGGCATCCCCTGCAAACCGGCCACCAACCTTGTGGCCCTTCGCTGCACTGACTCCAACCTGGCTGTATCCTTCCTGTAACGAGGGGCCCAGAACTGAGCACAAGACTCCATTACGCTTCTGGCTGTGCATCCAAGGGTGGCGTTCGCCCTCTTGGCTGCGGCGTCACACTGCTGGCTCCCGGCTCCGTGTGTCTCGTCACTCTTATCTGAGCAATTTCCCATGTCCCCTAGATGAGCCCGCCTGGGGAAGCACTGGCTTCTAGAACGGACAGAGCACTTCTGAGCATGTGCAGGACACCTTTTCTGGAACGCCAGAGAAGGCCTTCGCACCTGGGTGGGCAGGCGCAGGGCCTTTCCTTGCTAGCAGGGCTGTTCAAACGGGCGGCACCCAAGCTCAGAACTGCATATGCGGTGCCGTTCGGGAGAAGTGGAGCACAGCTGCCAAACGGGATTCGAGACTCTCTGCATTCATTTTCTAACGTGTCTCTGGCCCGTAGGGTTGCCAGCACCCGTCTGGGCTGACTCTCAGACAACAAGGCCTAAAGGACAAGGGCGGGCAACAGGGCCCCCCTCACAGAAACGAGAAGCCAAAGACGTTGTGCGAAACCATACACCCTGAAGAATAAATCATGCCGCAAAGAAAAGCCTCGCCCGCTTGCCGGAAGCAGAAACCTCGCACAGGGTGCCACGGGGGCTTGAAAAACCACAGTTACGCCGACAGACATTTTCCCAGGCGCTTTCCCTCCAGCAGGGACATTTCAAAACCTCCGATCAGCAATGGGGAGCCCCAGCCGTAACCCTCAGCGGCGGCAGCTGGGGCAGAGCTGAGGTCTCGAGGTTTGGTGCAAGGAGAGTTGAAGCGGAGCTCCCACGTGAGCGGCCGCTGCCTCTGGAAAGGCCCAAGTGGAGAGGAGAGGCAACCCTGCTGCGCCAAAGCATCGGCACATGCGCACCTGCTCTTGGTCTGTGCACATGCGCAATCACGCACGACCACCAGTCACCGGCTTGCACGGCCCCAGGGCGTAGCTGTGGACTCGGCCATCAGGGTAACTGTTCTACTCCGATTCCAGCAGGAGTGCAGAGCGGGAGCAGGACAGCCACTAAAAACACCTGCTCCCCTGCGGACGGAGCTGCCGCAGCTTTGCACGCCCTGCGGAATATCTCCTGCTGGCACCAGATGCGCCGGGGCACCTCCCTGCCATGCAGAAGACACCTGCTACCTGCTGTGTGCAGAGCAATTCATGAAGAAACTGTCAGTGCTGGCAACCCTGGGCTATGGCCTGCATGCCCTGACTCAGCAGGAGGCAACGTCCGATGTTCCCGGGCCCCAGAGGCGCTTCCTCGGCTAACATGATTGTCCCGGGCGGGACACATACAGTTATTTAGCTGCATGAAGAGTTTCAGCCTCTGTGGATCAGCGAATGAGGTCTAGCCTCTTGAGAAGTGTCAGGGCTTACCGTCTGGGTTAAAGCTGACATCCTCATCCACACCCACGACCCGCCTTCTGTGGCTGAAATGAGGGGCGCTGTCTGGGAGCCTTTCGGGGACCACCTGCCCCTCTGGGTAGACGGGAAAGCCTTCTGCTTCCGAGGGGGCACTCCAAACTTTTCCCTGGGGGGGCAAGGCCCCCTCACCACCAGGCTGCCCCAGCAGGATGGCCGTGACCGCCTCAATCGGACTCTCGTACACCAGCGGCAGGGTCGGGGTCCCGGCGTTTCCTTCTGATACAAAAGCCGCTGCGGACGGCGGTCCCTCTGCCAGGTCCAGGGAGACGGAGTCCAGCTCTGGGTAATGAGGGAGGCGGCTGGGCTTCAGTCCCGAATCCGGCTCAGGCCCCGAGCGCATCAGCTCGTCGTAATCCAGGAGGTCGCCGAGGCTGAAGGAGCTGCGGGTCCCCGTTTCCGGGACGGGCGGCAGCTCGGTCGGGGTAACGGGCAGGTACTCCAGGTCGTCCTCGTTGCCATCGTAGAACGGATCCGCATAATCGGGGCTGGAATCGGGGTACGCAGCCTCTGGGGTGGGCGGCCGCACCAAGCGACGCTCCGAGCTGCTCGGGGAAGGCGGGGGCCCCCGGCCCACCGTGGCCGGGACCACGTTTTCCAGCGGGGAGGTGCTGCCGATGTGGAACAGCCACACGCCGGGGATGCCGATGTTGCTTGCCCTAAATGGGAGAGGAAAGAGGGGTTGAAGCCACGGGGCCACCGACTGGCCAGCACCCTGAAATTCGGGACTGGAGCCTTGCAGGGTCCCTCCCACATTCGCCGCCGGGTGAGCAGCACCTCCCTGACGGGAATTTGCGCAGTAGCATCCCCGGGCGGGGCGGGGGGCGGTTCTGTGCCCCGAGGAGTCTGCAGACTGCGAAATGCTGGCCGCGGAGGAAGAAAACGGGGAGCAAGGCCTCGTGCGAGGTGGTCCCGGGCCACTGCGGGAGAGACGCGGCTCCACCGCCGGGCTGGCCCAACGGTCCCTCCAGCCCAGCATCCTGTTGCCCACAGGGGCTGGCCAGGCGCCTCTCGGAGGCCCCCGGGGGCCAGGGACAAAGGAAGCCCTGCCACAGTGGAACTCGGCAACCCGCGGCCTTCCCGACGGCCTCTTAAAGGAGCGTTCTTGCAACCCCCCCAAACCATACGAGGGTTCTCGGGGGCTTGCGATGCCTGCTCCCCTTCCGAACGCCCTTCCCCCGGGTCGCTGCTGCATGGCCACGACCCACGGCGCTGCTAAAGGAGGCACCGCAAAGCTGCGACCGCAGGCTAGTCCGATGACGCATGAGGCCGAGGGAAGCGCTCTCAGGCCGACCCAGGAGCCCCCCGTGGCTCGAGCCGGGGCTTTCTCCAAACTCGCCGGCTCTCAGGCGTTAGTCTCCCGGCGCAAGGGCCACTGAGAAGCCTGCCATCGCCCCAGGTCAGCAGCCATCTGGGGAAAGCTGCTGCATGAGCACCGCCATCCCTGGGCTCAGACAACTGCGGACTCCAGGAAGCACACGGATCCTGGCCGGGAAACCCGTTTCAGCGGTGCCTCGAGCCCTGCATGAATCCACTCCATGGCTCTGAGTGGGACGCTGCAGCTGGAGTCCTGCAACAGCAGCGGTGGGACCCAAAGGCCTTCAGGGCCGCTTCCAACTCTAAGATTCCAAGGTTTATTCCAGGTTTCGAGAGAACAGCGGATCAGCCAAGGGTTGAAAAAAGCCAGGACAAGCCCCCAGCACAGTGGGAATGGCGCAGGGCAGCAGCAGGCCTCGGAGGCGCCCAGGCGCTCTGGGTGTCGGGGAAGGGCTTGGAAGCGGGCGCAGGAGCGTCTTGCAATGCCGAGAAGTTGGGGACAGCCGGATTCCCTGCCTTGGCCCGAACAGCCAGCCAGACAGACGTGCTGACCTGCCGGGCGAGGAAGGGAGAGGAAATCCGAGGGAAGTAGCCCTCGCTGCGGCCTCCTCCGTGTTTGTCGTGCAAGTTCCAGCTCACAAGATCACTAGCCAGATGTTCAGCGGCAGGTTCCCAGCATGTCGAGACAAAGAGGATCCCTTTCGAAAGTCTGTTTAGCAGTTCCTGCGCTCTAGGAGCGTTTCCTTCCCACACAATCCTCTCTGCCTTGCTGGTGGCTGGCTGCCCCGAGCCCGAGGACAGCCAGCACGGCAGCAGCGAGGAGGACTCGATCCGGCAGCTGCGCCTTTTATGTATGTATGTATTTATTTAGGGAACTTCTACGCTGCCCCATTCGCCGAAGCCTCGGGGCGGCTCACAACCATAAATAAATAGAATTTTATAAAACAATATAAATTAAGTCGCTCTGGCCAAAGAATAAAATAAATAAATAATATTAACAATTAAAATAACATTTTACAAGCTCGGCTCCACGCCTCCCCAGTTGCGCAGGGCCCCCGGGAGGCAGGCAAATGCTTGCTGGCCCAGGCTGGACGTCCAGCACCTTCCTCACCGGGTGCAACCAGCCAAAGGTGGTTGTGCGGATGCAGAAGCAGGGCGCTGAAAGCCATTGTGTGGGATGCCATCTCTAGCGGGGCGGCAAGCAACCGTTTTCCACATGCAGGGCAGCTGCTGAAACCAGATGCATTGATACAAGATGGGGAATATGTACGTAGCTCAGCCATACTGCAACTGAGACGGATCTCAGGATGCTTGTAGATCACAAGCAGGCTGCGGGTCAACGCCGTCATGTGTTTGCAAAAAGGGCAGATGCGCTTTTAGGCTGCATTAATAGAAGCATCACTTCCAGATCCCATGAGGTACTAGTTCCCTGCAAAAGGCGGGGCTGGATGAATCACCAGTTGGAATTAAGATTGCCGGGAGAAATATCAACAACCTCAGATACGCAGATGATACCACTCTAATGGCAGAAAGTGAAGAGGAACTAAAGAGCCTCTTGATGCGGGTGAAGGAGGAGAGCGCAAAAGTTGGCTTGAAGCTCAACATTAAGAAAACTAGGATCATGGCATCCGGTCCTCTCACTTCCTGGCAAATAGATGGGGGAGAAATGGAGGTAATGGCAGATTTTATTTTCCTCGGTTCCAAGATCACCGCAGATGGGGACTGCAGCCAAGAAATTAAAAGACGCTTGCTCCTGGGGAGGAAAGCTATGGCAAATCTAGACAGCATACTAAAAAGCAGAGACATCGCCCTGCCAATGAAAGTGCGTATAGTCAAGGCTGTGGTTTTTCCAGTTGCAATGTATGGCTGTGAAAGTTGGAACATAAGGAAGGCTGAGCGCCAAAGGATTGAGGCCTTTGAATTGTGGTGCTGGAGGAGACTCCTGCAAGTCCCCTGGACCGCAAGGCGATCAAACCGGTCAGTCCTAGAGGAGATCAACCCTGACTGCTCTTTGGAAGGCCAGATGCTGAAGATGAAGCTCAAATACTTTGGCCACCTAATGAGAAGGAAGGACTCCCTGGAGAAGAGCCTGATGCTGGGAACAATTGAAGGCAAAAGAAGAAGGGGAAGGCAGAGGATGAGGGGGCTGGATGGGGTCACTGGGGTGGTGGGTGTGGGCTTGGGTGGGCTCTGGGGGATGGTAGAGGACAGGAGAGCCTGGAGGAATGTTGTCCATGGGCTTGTGTTGGGTCGGGCACAACTTTGTGACTAAACCAAAAAAAACCTAGTTCCCATTTACTCAGCACTGGCTAGGCCTCACCTGGAGTCCCATGTCCAGTTCTGGGCAGCACAGCTTAAGAAAGAAGCAGACAAGCTGCAAAGGGCTCAGAGGGGGGCAACAGGAGTGATCCCAGGAAATCCAGCCCTGGGTGGAGAGACGGAAAGAGCTGGGCATGTTCAGCCTTGAGGAGAGGAGAGGAGGCTGAGGGGAGATGCTCCAGCGTTCGTCAAGTCCTTGAAAGGCTGCCGTGCAGAACGGGGCACTGCCGCGACAGGGCGTGGAAGGACGGGCTCAAATTACAGCAGCCAGATTCCAGCTGGACATCAGGGAAAACTTCCCGATGGTTAGAGCACCACGGCGATGGCACCTGTGACCTGGGGAGGTGGCGGGCTCCCCCACCCTGAGCATTCAGGAGACAGCTGGACAGCCCTCGGAGAGGGATGGTTGCGGAGGGAGTCCTGACCTGGGCAGGGGGCTGGGCCCGAAGGTTTTCTTGGCCCCTGCAACTCGACTAATCCATGCTTTTCCAGGCTGAACATTCCTCAGAGGAGATGCCTTCCAGACCGTGGGACAGGCTCCAAGTTGTCCAGCCTGCTCTTAAAATGTGCCACCCGGAACAGGATAGGCCAGTGTACGTGCCCCAGAATCCTCTGGGGCAGACCAAGCTTCCCGAGCAGATGAGTTGGCTTGGAAGGGTCTTCCTGAACCCCCGCCGCCCTGAAACAATAGCTGCTTCCAGGAAGTCCGGAATACTGCCACACGGACACCCCTCTTCCACCCCAATCAGGCTTGGAGAGAAGTCGCTGCAAAGCCAGCAGGCTCCGAAAGGGGAAAATCTCCATTTTGCTTCCTTCGAACTCCTTCTGCTCTTGAAGGCATCCTTGGAGCCAGGCGGCCTGCGGAGCCGCAGCCACAGGCCGCAGGCCGTTCCCCGCTGCCGTCACCGCATGCCTGCACCAAGCACAGGAAAGCCTCCCTCCAGCAGGAACAGCGGCACAGACCGGTGCAGCCCCGGCCCCAAAGCGGCCACCACCGCCACCCTGGGAGGGGGCTTCCACGGACTTTCAGCAGGACGCTGTCCTCTCTTTGAACCCGACCCCTCAAAGGAAGCAGAAAGCACACGCTTCCTGGCACTGAGGACATTATCTAACGAAACAGCCGCCTTATGCAAACACAGTCCGACTCCACAGCCGGGCGTCACGCCCACGCTGCTCTCCGGACGCTACAAAGCAGGTAGGCGCACATCGCTGGCCTTCGGAGCCCAAAGCTCGCGTCCGGGCTGCGCAATTAAAAAGATAAAATCAGATGTCAACCGAATTTCTCCACCCAGAAAGAGTGAGCACACGTGCTCACCGTGCGGGACACCACTTACTGGTAGAGGTTCTTAACGGACTGCTCGCTGCTCGTTATGCCGTGGTACGGTCCTTCCTGCCGGTGATAGTCTCCTCTGCTGAAGCCCACTCGGGCCGGGAGCTCCAGGTGGACGTGGTATGATTCCTTCGGCCGTGTCCCGAAGAACTGGATCCCGTCCTCGGGGTACAGGAAGAGGGCGTAGGTGTCCGAAGGGCTGAACGCCAAGACGGCCTGGAAGGTGTTACGCTGCAGGTGCAAAAGCACACAAAGCAACAACGCACGGATCAGAACCAGGGCTCCGGGGAGGGCGCCACAAACAGTATTTGGCCGACTCGGACCCGAACCAAGCCACAAGTGGCCAGCGGACGGGGCACAGCGGTCATGAGGCTGTGTCAGGGTGAAGTCCCACCTTCACGACTTTAGACTCTGCAATGTGGGGACCACGGTGCTGGCCTGCCTCTCGTGAATATTTGCAGAGACGGTCCGCACAGCCCTTTGAATGCGCCATTCAAAAAAATTTAAACTCTAAATGTTGCACCCTGTGACAATGAAGCAAACCATTTGTTTTTTCAAGCTTATTTTTTGCCACTCCATTCCAAAGAAGCTCCCAAAGCTCCTGGCATATATGAAGTGAACAATAAGAGCTTCCTCCAAGCTTACAATTGAAAAAGACAGCATACAAGGAAAAGGGAATGGGGAAGAGAGAGGGGGAAATGACATCTTTCAGCAGGGTCGGATGAATTGTCCTCCTCTTCCTCTCATCTCCCTTGGGGCACCCTGCTGAAAGGCATGAAATTAGCTCAGTTCCTCTTTTTCTGTGCAACTTAGTCTGCAGATTCAGATCATTTTACAAAATAAAGTACAGCAGCAGTGAGGTGTAACGGTTAGACTGCTGGAATGGGATTTGGGAAACCCAGGATCTGGTCCGAGTCAGTCATGAAACTCACTGGCTGACTTTGACCTGCCCCCGACAACCAACCTAGCCTACCTCACAGGGCTGTTGTGAGGAGAAATGGGAGACAAGAAGATTCATGGAAGCCACCTGGGGCCGCTGGCAAGAGGAAAAAATCCAGGATAGGAACGTAAAAACAAATAAAAGCCGCAAGGTAGCAAATTCTGCGACGGATTTCCATTTCTGCATTCTTGCGAAGCTCTAAAGACACACAGATCACAAAGCCCCACATTCCCTGCCTCGGGAACGCACCGAACGCAGCAGGAACAGGAGTCTTTTCGGCCAGAGAACCCCCCGGGAGGCGTGCCGAGACCCCCTTCTGGCCCCCCACCTGGCCCCCTGCACACGCATACCCCTCACACACATGCCCAGACACGCATGCACGATGCCCAGAGCCAGGAGGATGAGCCGGTCCTGCAGGGAAATCTGCTACAGTCCAACGGCTCTCTGGGCACGAGGGAAAGGGCAGCCGCGTCTTCCGTGCGCGGGGAAAGCCTCCGTCTAAGCACGGGGAGGGCGATGTGTTTTCTTCCGCCGTGGCCAGAACGCGGGGCCTTTCCGGTAGGGACAGCGGGGCAGGCTTTTGGGGTGCGGGGAGGACCCCCGCCAGGGTCTCCGTGGCCGGATGCAGCCGCTGACGGCGGCCAAACGGGCTTGCAGGCCACAGGGCCCTGCGCACTGGGTCCGGCTTTGCCACACGACTCCGTTAATGGAGGGTGTGCCGACAGGGCAGCAGAAAAGTACGGGAAATAAATGCCGTTTCAAAGCTCCACTTAAGGTCTCCATGGTTACCCTCTTGGAAAGGCAGCTTTCCCGAGGGACCTATTGCTCAAAAACCTGATGTGGACCATCATTTATCTGTCCTCCTTCCTGCTTTATCTTCCCGGCTTTTGGTCTCGGCTCCTCCAAGCGGGGGGGCACTGTGCTCCATTTCACCATTTCCTCCTCTGGAATGAGATATAATTCCCGCAGCCCCCCAACCCAAAAGGGATTCCCCAGGGGGGCACGCTTGTCCCAGAAGCAAGAAGCTTGAGGGTCGCTTGGCTGCCCCTGCATTTCAAAGGCCTGTCCGGAGCCTGGCTGTGTGCTTGGCTGAGCCAGGAACACTCTGCATCGGCTCAGAGGCACCCTTCTCCCTTCTCCCAACATCCTTCCCTTTCCTTCTCACGCCTTCCGAGACGCAGTGCCCTTCTCTGCCGACCTCTTGGCAGCATTTTACACCCCCTTCCGCCTCTTTCCATGTATCCTGCCCTGCAATTCAGGGCGCAGCCTGCACGCTGGATTCCCCCGCAGCCCACTAGACCTGACCTTTGATGGCAGTGCGAGGTTTTAATGAGGCCGCCGCAGCAATCCTCGCTCGCAGCATTTCAAATAGCGATGACCATATATAGTGTCGTTAAGGCACACGGCGCTTTCCAGCGTGCAAGAGGAAAAGTTATCCCAGCCCCTGCCGAACGGGTGCCCCCGGTCTCTGTTGGACCACACCTCCCATCATTTCCGGAAGGGAAACCCGAAAATAGCACAGGTAACAGAGTGGCTTACCTGCCCACACCGGGGCATCGCTGCAAGCCCGCTTCCTGGACCTCCCCAGCTCCACCACCTTTTCGAGGTTCCGAGAACAGAACTAGACACGGCATTCCAACAGAATCGATGTACCGACAACGATATTGGTAGCTTACTTTTCCAGCCCTTTCTTAACAATCCCCTACCTTTTTATTTACCCACCGTTTTAAGAATTAGGAATTTTAATCTGGTTTGAACTATCTACAGTCACATTTTGCTTTTGCTTTTTGAGCTTGATTCATTTTGAGTTTCTTTTGTTTTCATTGGTGACATGTTACTGTTGGATTTATGGATATTCTTAATTATTGTTTTTTCTTTATGGATTGTTTGTTCTGATTTTTGTAAGCCGTCCTGAGATGCTTTGCATATAGAACAGGGCATAAATGTTTTAAATAAATAAACAAATCGTGGAATTTTCCCTTTTCATAGCAACTGTAAACTCCCCCAGAAAAGCACCATTTTGCCCCCTTTTCAAGCAGGAATGGGATATATAAAGTCATGGAAAGATGTCCACAGGTCTGGAGTCATTCCCAGTGGAAAGTGGAGATGGCAGGGGAGCGGTTCCAGTTTCTGTGCATTTTCCAACAGCAGCCGCTTGTCATTCCGGCCAGATATAAAGGCAGGATTGTTGTCAAACGACACACATGCAGCCGCATCGCGGACCAAGCCCCTGGGACCGCAGCCGAGCTGTGCAAACAAAGCTAGTCTTTAAAAATTAATTTAATTTGTTAATCAATTATTATTTGATGAGTTAGGAATGGCCTGGGGAAGACCTGGGCAAACGAAGTGAGGGCAGAAGGGGGGGGCGCTTGACCCACACCCACCAGAGCCGCAGGGGGTTTCCCCAAGCCAGGACCTACCAAGTGCTTTGGACTACATCTCCCATCATCCCCAGCCAGCATGGAGAAGGCTGCTCTCTATCGCATTGGGAGAGCATAGACTGGGCCTGCAAAGTTCACTGGCAGCATCATGGATCCAGCCATTCAAATTCATCCCTTCCTTCGCTCTCCGGCATTTGGAGATCCACTGCAAGTTACTAAAATCGCTCAGGGATGCGATGGACTGCAAACCATTTTTAAATCAGGCCCAGTTTTATACGGTTAGGTTTTTACTCTTTGCAGCCAGTCGGAGAGTTTTCACTATTGGCCAGTATGGATGAAACGAACTTAAAAGCGCGCATGAATATAAATGAAATAACGTTAACGGAACGGCTTGCCACAACCCCGCTGGAACGGAAGACGGCCGCCGAGAGGCAGACAAAGCTGCCCCAACGCACCCTTCTCCACGCAGGTGCCTTACAAGCCCCATCATCCCTTGCCAGCCGCCTCACAGAACGAGGCGGCCTCCCTTAGCACACGCCCTCCGCTTCCTCGATCTGAATGCCAGACCTGCGACTCTGGAGAAGCAAAATAGCGCCCTTTGGCTTGCCGGGGGCTTCGGCGGGGCTTGCCGAGGAGAGCTCTCCCCACGGATCGTGCCCTTCGCACAGGAGGGAAACACCCACAGAGAGCAAATAAACGAATGCCGGGCACAGCCATGGCGCGGGGGGACACAGAAGCCAGCAGATCAGAGTCAAAGGGCAGCTGCGGCGGGCAGTCCGGCCCTTGTCCAAAGCCGCCCTCTGCCCTCGACGGGCGCAGCACTTGCTGTGAGACGCAAAGGGCAAATTCCAACAACCTTCGGCCCCCGTTTCCAAGAGCGCCGGCTCGACACACGGCCACACGACCTGCTAGTCGCGGAAGCGCAAGGGAAAGCCAGCCTGACGAGAACGTGGGTCCACCCAGTTCTCCTCGCACAACAGCCAACCGGGGCTTGTGGGGCCCACAAGCAGGGCAGGAGAGCAGCAGCACTCTCCACCCATGTTCCCCAGAAACCAGTGGACACAGGCACGCTGCCTCGGACACTGAGGCAACGCACGTCCTCCTCCGTGGGAAAGGCCACGAGGGCTGGTGGCCGCAAGCACCCATGTGGGGCAAATTCCAGGGCCAGGGGGTGCCCGAGGGCTGCCGGGGCGAGGCAACCCAGAGGGACGACGCCTCTGCCGCACCAGCGGCCTCTCTCCTGGGGGACTTTCCGTGTTTCCAGTTCCGACCCCGAAAGCCTGAGAGAGCAAATTCCCTGGGAAAGCATCGCAGAGGCCACAGGACTGCACAGAACAAAACCCTCTGGCCTCGGGAGTTGGAGCTCTGGTCCCACCCCGACCCCCACCTTTCCCCAAGTTGGAGAAGGAACCCTAGAGAAGGGAAGAGGGCACCCCAGCACCCGAAAGGCCAGGATACGAGATGCCCTGAGCCTTCCCTAGCCTGCTTCTTTCCACCTCCAAAGACCTTTCACTCTGAGCTCAGAAGGACCGTCCAGTAAAAACTACCCAAGATGGAAGGCAGGGACGCGATCCACACTTGGAAATCTACTTGCTTCTGAGGAGCAAGGCTCAAATGAGAGGGATGCACCCTTACACGGTCCGGGATCACACGACCTGGGAACCCCTCCTCATCCCCACCAGCCTGCCTGTGCGTCAAGATCAATAAATCGGACCTTCTTCCTGCTTGTGAGAATCGCTACGGGGCAACGACACGGGGCAGGAGCTTGCCCACAGTGGCCCCACGCCCCTGCAAGAAGCGCCCATCTCGCCTTCTCTGGCCTTCCCCCGATTGTGCTTTATCTGACTGGGCTGTAGCTGAAGTCGAACGTAGGGTTTTCGGGAACGGCTCGCTAGCGCTTTGTTGTTTACAGTGTTAGCTGCTATTGGTGATTATTTGTTGTTACTTGTCACCAAGTTGTCTCTCCCTTGTGGCAACCCTAGAAATAACAAGATGTCCTCTCCTGAGCAGCCCTGCTCTTGTAAACGGGCTTCCTTGATGGACCCCGTCCACCTGAGAGTTGGTCCTCCTCTCCTCCTTCTGCCATGGACTTCCCCTGGCACAACTGTCTTCTCCGAGGAACCTGGGCTTCTCATGTGAGTTTTACAGCCTTTGTTCACTGGGAGGGTTCTATGCGCTGAAAGGCATCCAAGAGATATGGTGAATTTAAAAACCCAATAAAGACTTGTTTCCTTCCATCCATTCTCACCTTCTGAGATGCTACTGAGCTCTAGAGTTAGACCAAGTCACCTTCTCCACCCCATACTTCCTTTTATACACTTCTGCCGTATCTCCCTTTCCATGCTTGTTGTCCTTGAAGGTAACCTCCACGCTGGGGACCTGCCCCAGCCACCAGATCATTTTAGCAGTGCTTTTCTGGACGCTCCTCAGCGTTCCAATAGCCTTTCTGAGGGTCGGTGACCAGAACTGGACAAGGCATTCCAACAGATCTGGATGCGGGCGCGATGGTCCTGAGAGCTCAATTCTCTATTGGAGCAAGTGGATCCCTGACTTGGGGTTTGCCCTTGGGGTGCATCGGATCCCCACTGTCCTCCAGCTGCCCAGCCCCCTCCACCTGCATGCAGGGGCGCAGGATGCCCTGCGGAGGTGGACCCTCAGGGAATAAAAGATGATGCACAGCCAGAAATGCATCATCGAGAGCGATGTTAGATTGAGAGAGGTGATACTGCCAATCTATACGACTGGTGCACCCGCAACTGGAGTATTGTGCTCATTTCTGGGCCCCTCGTTACAAGAGGGATATGGCAAGGCTGGAATCGGTGCAGCGAAGGGCCGCTAGGATGGTGGCTGGTTAGTAGGGGAAGCCGCACGAGGCGAGACTGAGGGAACTGGATCTTTTCCGCCTTGAGAGGAGGAGACTCAGAGGGGACCTGTGAGCAACACGCAGGAAGGTGAGGGGGTGCCACGCAGCGGTGGGTCATGACCCCGTTTCCCCTGCAGTGGAGGGCAGGACACGCTCCAATGGAGCAAAGCTCAGGGAACCAAGATTTAGGGTGAATGCCAGGAAGTACTTCCTGACAGTCAGGACCCCGAGGGTGTGGAATGGGCTTCCACGGGAGGTGGTTGAGGCCCCATCGGTGCGGGTGTTCAAGGACAGGCTGGACATGCGCAAGGTGGGCATGTCGTGAGCGGAGCCAGCTGGAGCCGGGGGTCAGACTAGATGGCCCGGGAGGTCCCTTCTGACTCGCTCTGTTTCTCTGATGACAAAGGAACAGGTTGGAGAAACTGCTAACTCCTCCCCTCCCGATCAGAAAATTTAAAACTGCACCATCTGATTTTGAGCAACAACCAGCAAATACTGGCTCAGGATTGCAAAAGGCCAATCCGTGGACTTACAACGCATGCTTTCAATGTCAAGGCTAAATCTTACTAATGGCTGAATTGGCTGGGGCTGATAGGCACTGTAGTCCAACATGTCTGGAAGCTTTCACACATCCCCCAACATTGTTAAAGCATAACAGTGCACTGGGCTCCTTCCTGCTTTCCGCAGACAGAACTGGCTGGAGTGTGTTTTAATATGGATGAGTCAATTTAAAAACAAAAAGAAACGCAGAACCACCCCATTATTGGAATTCCCTCCGTGCCTCTTTTCCATGCACTGTGGAAAATCTGGAACACACCATTCTCTGCTGAGCAGAGAACAAATCGTTTGGAGAAGAATTCTTTCCACCCACCAGCAGACCAAAACACTGAGGTGGGAGCAGTTAATGAAAAAGACTTTCCGAAAGGAGCAAATTTCCAGAAGGTTTATGCTAATCTGAGGAGCTCCCATGGCTTTAAGAGCAGCGCCAAAGACCCCCCTTCCGGTGGAGCATCTTCCCCCTTTGCCGCCTGGAAAAATGACCCCTCATGTAACGAGTCCTTCCATGCCCCTCCTGAGGGCCGGGAATCCACTGAAGCAGGGCGACGGAGCCCTGCAGCCCAAGGGCCACCCTCCGGTTTGGAAAAGCTGCGAGGGCTGCCAGGCAGGAGTGGGCGGGGCCAGGGGCCAAGGGGCGGGGCCAAGCCGCCCGGACCGCTTTGGAGAGAGCGCAGCCTCACCTCCTCCTGCCGGCAGCCAGAGTCCTTGCGAGCCATTTCTGAAAAGCAGCTGCAAATACAGCAAGTAAAACCATTTGATGCTGCTGTAACCTGCATCAGGTTGCTTTTCCATCTAGCTCCGGGCTGCCCCCGCTCGACATCAAGCACAGACACGATGCTCCCGTGAGCAGGTCCACCACAGATACCCGCCTGGCTCCCTGCCCCTCCTGGCTTAGGTGGGATTCAACAGCAGTTTTACAGGTTAGGATTCAGGTCCCACCTCACCTTTGTACTTAAGTTCTTGGAAAAGTTGCTTCCTTTTGGCCTCACTCCTTGGCAGTGGGGGAAACGGGTGTTTTGTGACTGGTGAGGTGCAAGCACAGCAGCCATTTTGTGACTGCGCCCACAACACTCCCAGAAAAATCCAAATGTGCCTGATCTTAAGGTAAGCTGTCTCTGCCCACAGTTCTCTTGTTCAGATGCCATCCTGACCTTCTAAGTTCAGAGGGGAGTCAGAGGACCCTCCTTCTCAGTCCCCTGCCCCAGTGCCCGCCTGAGCTCATCACAGAGACACCGGTCCAGGTGTCCCAGGTAATGTTTCTCTCTCAGCAACACCCACTTTCGACTTTTCTCCTCATGACAGCACTGGTTCCCTTCATTCTATGACTGACGTTTCCCCCTTATTTTTTTAAACGTTTCATAAGATCCCAAACCCTTGTTGGCTGGGCCAGAAATTCTGGCAAATGCAAGAGTCCCAAAGCATCACCTCACCTGCTTGGATGGCTCCAAATTCCGAGTGACTTCTTCATAGGCGCCCACGTTCTCCCAGGTTGCGATGAAGGCATGGTCTGGCACAAAGTCGGTGGCGCTGGGAAACCCTGCTTGGACAAGCCGGGCGGCCCGATCCAACACCTCCCTGGACTCATCCAGGCGGTAATAGATTTTGCCCCTCCCACCGCTGGTGTCAATGTCCGAAAGGAAAGGGGCAATCGCAGGGAAGTCTGTGGGGAAATCATCATCCACATACTGCGTCTCTCTGGGAAAGTCCTGGGTGGAAATGATTCCGTTTGTTCCAACCTGTCAGGGAGCCAAGTCAGAGCTGAGTGAGCAAGGTCATTCTAGCAAGCGAGCACAGCTTCCGCTAGCAGGAGGCAGATCTGCCATTGCCAAATCTCAAAATACCCAGAACTAGAGCAGATTCAGCCACGAATCTGGACTTCAGAAAATCATCAGCTGGGGTCACAGGTCACCAAAAGATCTTCTGTGTGGCGCCAGCAAAGACCCTCCTGTCGCTGCAACCAAATGTTGGGGGCTTCTCGGCACCCTCTTGCTCCATGTTGAGTTTCCCCCAGCCTGGCTCCTTCCTGATCCATCAGACCAAATGCCCATTCATTCTCAGCCAACATGACCCTCTCCCTGCTGGCTGCGGATGATGGGGCTTGCACTCCAAGACATCCAGCTGCCTATGGATGCAAAAAATGCTCTCAAACACCTTCCAGGACCCTTTGCAACCAAAATGCAGCTGCAAACTTAAACCGCTTCAGAAGTGGATCTGATCCGCTCAAGGGGGTGCGGATGGAGCTGGATCACTGGAGTTCGAGAGAACGCTACCGCTGCAAATGGTCTTGCAGATTTTTTGGGCCAACACCCCCGCTCAGTGTGAGAGCCGCAGGGCACGGGGACATGTGGCGTGGCACACCTGGAAGGTGCCAGGTTGGGGAAGGCTGCCCTAATGGGGAACAGGAAACAGGAAACCAAACGCCGTTTGCAATCACTCAAACAAGTCTCAGCAGAGGGGCAAACGGGGGATCTGGAAAGATAAAACACCGAGTAGCTGAAGTTGTTTAAAAATGGGGAACTTGTGCTACTAAGAATCACCTCACCGCTACGACCCTGCAAGGTGGGCCAGTGCTCTGATTGCCCGGATTCAGTTCAGGGAACTAGTACAGGAAAAGGGCCGGTCCGGGAAAAGTTATGTGACATTAATGCACGAATGCCTTGTCCGTCCGTCCGTCCGTCCGTCGAGTGCAACTGCAGCTGCGACGAGCCGCGAGCAGAAGGCGCACGAGCCCAGCGCGAGGCGGCCGCGGCCGCCCGGGCTGCCCGAGCGCCTCCGCGGCGAAACGGGGAAGGGCAGCGGCGACCCCGCCCGGCGAGGAGAGGCCGCCACGGCGCGCCGGCCAAGACGAGCCTGTGCGAGGGAGAAGCGGTCTGGTCCCGAGCCCGGCGGGCGGGCGGGCGGGCGGGCGCGGCGGCGGCGAGGGGCTCGCAGGAGCTGGAGCGGCTCGGCGGGCGCTGCCAGCGAGGGGGCGCCGCCCGGGAGGGGCCCGCGCGGGCAGGCGAGACAGAGGCGCCTCTGTGTGGCGCCCGCGG